TCCCAGCTCTGACATTCTGGGTTCTAAGGGTCCTCCCAGCTCTGACAGTCTGGGTTCTAAGGGCCCTCCCAGCTCTGGCCTTGTGGGTTCTAAGGGTCCTCCCAGCTCTGACAATTCTGTGTTCTAAGGGTCCTCCCAGCTTTGACATCCTGGGTTCTAAGGGCCCTCCCAGCTCTGACCTTTTGTGTTCAGAGGCCCCTCCCAGCTCTGACATTCTAGGTTCTAAGGGCCGTCCCAGCTCTGACACTGTGGGTTCTAAGGCCCCTCCCAGCCCTGACATTTTACTTTGTACAGTTCCACCCTGGAATGAACTCTTGTTCAGACAGAGGTTGGATGAGGTTACCTCCAAGGTCCCTTCTGTGGGACAGGGCCTCAGGCCCTAAGGAAGAGGAAGCCCTCTCTGGCCTGCCCTGGGATACCTGCTCTGAGCGGTTCAGGCAATTCCGTGCTTCGTGCTCCAGGAGATTCTCTTTCCTAAAGTAGCATTTCCCACATTTGGGGCATTCAAAAGGCTTCTCCCCAGTGTGTTTCCTGGAAGGAACAGAACCCAAGAGGCATTTGGCTGCTAGAAAGACTTCCTAGCCTTCACAATGGACCCAATTCCCCACCTCCCTCTGCCCCTCCAGGGGAAACTGTGCCAGAGGACAGCCAGCCACCAAGAGCGTCAGGGCCCATCCCTTCAGGCCAGCTGGAGGCTACAGGGGATGAGGATAAGACCCACTCGGGTCCCAAGATGAGGACATTAGTCTGATGACAAACTTATATCACTGGGGAGTGAGCCAAGCCACTCCTACCCTGCCCTGATGCCAGGAGGACCAACACATGTCCTCTCATGCACAAAGCCCAGGATGTTTAGAGAGAGGTCATGTTCAGCACCTGATTGGCTGAGCAAGCTCTCTCCAAGGTGGGGAAGGGGAGTACATCTAATAGAGCTGAAAAGCCCTGAGCAGACCTCCATACGTGACAAGAGGTCACCAGGGTGCTGAAGAAGAGTCTGGTGTGACCTGGTGAGCTCTGGGCTGCCCACCCCTCCACGCCTCTGCTAAGATGCTGTCCATAGTGGTGATCTCACTGCAATGTGTTTTGGGGGGAATGTACAACATTTGGCAAATCTTATACTCAGCAGACGAAGACGCAATTCCTAGCATCTCAGCCATGCTAAGAGGGGAAGGGAGCCCGCAGGTGCCTGAGCATACAGCCCTGTGCACAAAGCTTTGAGAAATGACACCAAAACAAGGGTTCTTATCCTATGGCCCATGAACTTGTTTTTAAAAATATTCTGATAAGGGGATTTCAAACTAATTGGTTTCCTTGGTAATTAATCCTCTGTATTTTTTAATCTTATGCATTTAAAAACATTATTCTACGAAGGGGTCCTTCAGCCTCACTGGACATTGCCAAAGAGGTCCGTGACACAAAAGAGCTTAAGGTCCCTCATCCTAAGAGAGCAAAGACCCCCCCAACTCACACCAGGATAATAAACTCAAGGGAGACGCTTCCTTAAGAAGGTGAAATGGAGAGTCGTTTTCTACCACACATGAAGGCTGTTATTTCAGATTTACTTTGACATCCTATTCATCTTCTTCCATGTAATATATTCCTATCCAGTCCTATGCAACCACTTACAGAAATCTACTTTGAAAAAATAAGGCATTTAAAGTCAACAGCAATCCCCCCTCTCCCAGTTTTGGGTATGGGCCTGCCTCTTTGCCCTACCTAGAGAACTCTGGAGAAGGGCCTGGAAACGTGGTTTGTATGCATCTACCCAAAGCTGGTCGTTCTCAGAAGAGCTCAGCTAAAGAATCCCTCTATGACTGTGAAACTTGTCTTCCTCAAAAGAGTTACTACTGGTTCCCTGGGACACACCCAGAGAATTGGCAGGGTGACAAAAGCCCTAGGCAATACTGAGGTAAAGAATTTTTAGCTGTTTTTGTGTTGTGGACATCTTTAGCAGACTGGCTCAGCCTACGAACCCCTTCTCAGCAAGTCTGAAGGAAATGCTCAATTTTAGAGGTTGATGAAAAGAAAGGGGCAGTTAAGTGGCGCAGTGGATAGAGCACGGGCCCTGAAGTCAGAAGGACCTGAGTTCAAATCCGGCCTCAGACCAAACACTTGACACTTACTAGCGATGTGACTCTGGGCAAGTCACTTAACCCCAATTGCCTAAAAATTAAAAAAACAAAAAACAAATTATTTTGGGGCAGCTAGGTGGAACAGTGGATAGAACTCCAGCCCTGAAGTCAGGAGGACCTGAGTTCAAATCCAGCCTCAGACCAAACACTTGACACTTACTAGCTGTGTGACCTTAGGCAAGTCACTTAACCCCAATTGCCTCACCCAAAAAAAAAAAAAAAAAAAAAGATGTCATTTCCCCCCCATCTTTGTTCATGGACCTCCTAAAATTGATCTATGGACCAATCCATGGAACCCAAGTTTAGAATCCTCAACTATGAGCCTTTTAGAACCACTGCCCTCGTGGCCCTGGGCAGAGCCTTTCTCCTGGCCCAGTGATATGAGTACCAGCCTGAGTCTGACACTGCCCACCTAGACCAGAAGGTCCACTGTAGACTGTTGGAGACTGATGCCCAGAAAGGAAGAAACAGTCCACCAAGGTGCTCATGTGCCACTCTCCCAGTACAGGGCTCCTGAGAGAGAAGGAATTTAGCCCAAAGCAGGATGGCTTTCTCTTGGCAGCCCTGTGTCTGAAAATGGAACGTGCTGCTGGAGTCTACAGGTGAATGCTGGACAAGATGCTAAAGGCGGGCCCTGGAAATGGTCCAATTCTAAGGTCTGATTTGATCATCAAGGCAAAGGCTACCACAGAAATCTCCAATACCATTTCCTTTTAGAAACTCCAATGGTACTTTCAAGAGTTTGGTGATATAAATCTCATCCTACAAAGGCCACAAGAACTCCAAAGAGCTTTTAAGGAATCAGTGCGATATGAAGCTCTGACAAGTAGGAACACTTTCTTTTTCTTTTTTTTGGGGGGGGCTAGGCAATGGGGTTAAGTGACTTGCACAGGGTCACACAGCTAGTGTTATGTGTCTGAGGTTGGATTTGAACTCAGGTCCTCCTGAAACCAGGGCCAGTGCTCTATCCACTGAACCACCTAGCTGCCCCAAGTAGGAACACTTTCATGAGGATCTCGTCACATCTCAGGCACAGCTAAGGGGTTTCTGGTTTTGTAATGAAGTTTCTTTTGCAAACATTTAGTAAAGTTATGCTTTTGGATGGAAACACTTTAAAAACAGACTGGCAGTCGTAAGCTTTCTGTGAAGCTCTGGAACACAGCACCTTGGATTGACAACAGCCCCAGACACATAGACTATGAAGTCCTGATTTTGCAGTGACACGGTCACCCTCTGGGTTGCATCCATTTCCAGGGTCCACTCTGGGCATTTCGTGCCAGTTAAAAGATTATGAGAGCAAGCTGGGCTAGAGAGAGGACACAAAAGGCCCATGTGCTGGAGCCTGTAGCTGGGCTCCCTCAGAGACCAAGGCCAACAGGCAGGGACGACAGGAAGGCAGGAAAGCTTGATGGACCTTGTCAGAACAGACAGATTAGCTCCCTGCTCTTGGTACAGAAAGGGCAGGGATGGGGAAGGGGAATTAAAAAAAAAAAAAAAGAATCTTTACCTGTTGTGGACTTTTAGGTAATATTTGCTGAGGAACTTTTTATGACATGTGGGGCATTCAACCGGCACAGCTGTACCTTTTCTGTTCCCAGGGGGCTCGGCAACTGGGGGCCCCAGGCTCAGGGCAGGCTCCAGAGCACCAGGCTTTGGGGCTGTGTCTGACTTCCTTGTGGTCCGCACAGTCTCTGTTTCAGAAATGTCATCTCCATCTGCATCATCCTCAACCTGGACCACTACTTCCCACTACGGCAGAACAGGCAGCGCAAGGAGGTGGTGTCACCAAATGAAAGGTACAAGGATCCTGGGTGGCTGGGGGGCCGTGTCTGCTGGGCAGGGGCAAGAGGGCCTCTCGCTAGCCAGGTGCCTTGCCAGAGGGACCCCCAACTCAGTAGCTAGTCCCCTGCTGAACCCTAGTGAAGAGGGGATTGGGCCAGGAGAAGGTGTCTGCCCACGGCGGCCTGAAAGCCTGCCTCCCCCCTTCTGATGGGGTATGTCCCCTGGAGGCTGCCGCTGCTGGTCGATACACCTGAGGCAACAGTGCAGAGCCAAGACTTAGAGTCAAAGGCCTGAGTCTGAATCCCAGTTCTGTCTATCTGTGTGACTCTGGGCCTGTCTCCTCATCTATAAAATGAGGAGGCTGGAGTGGAAGGCCTCCAAGGCTCCTTCCAGGTCTCTCCCCGATGACCTTGACTCAGCAGAGTGGTACGGCAGGCCGGGGGAGGTTCTACATACTACATACTAAAGGGCCTCTGCCCCTCGGGTCCCCAGTACCTCCCTCCCTCTCTCATCCCCTGGGGCACCACCCCAGCACCCTGGACAGCACCTCATTACTACCAGCCTGAAGCAGGACCCCTCCTGCCTTCAAGGGTCTCTGGGGGTCTTTACAGTCTTGAGAATCCGTGTCCCCGGGACTGGTTAGGGTGCTGGGCTTCAGAGCTTGCTGGAGTCTCTCATGGGGAGAGGAGGGACTCTCCCTCTGCCTAGGGGGACTGGGCTTGGCCCTGGGAGGGCTCTGGGGAGAGCAGGGCTGCGGAGCACTGATGCCCGTGTAGAAAGCCCTGGCCATGTCTTCCTCTTCAGAGTCAGGTGGCCGCTTGAGGTGACCATTCACATCCTCAGAGATGGATGTCTCTAGGCTGGCCAGCTCCTGCCCCACCAAGTCCTGAGCCTTGAAGCTTTGGCATAACTCCACAACCTCAGGTACCCGAAGCTCCCTCGCTGCCAGGAGCACCTTATCCAGGTTTCCTGGGGTGAGGGCAAGGTGGCCAGTGTAGAAAAAGTCCAGCAAGAGGCCAAAGATCTCCGCAAAGCCAGCAGGGAGGCTGACGCTGCCCACCGTGCCATCCCCATAGAGGCTTTGGAAGAAGTGGCTGCAGCAGGCCAGGACGCTCCAGTGGGCCTTGAACACGAGGCCGCCCACGTCCAGGGTGGCGTCGCAGTACTGCCCCTTCTCCCGCTGTTTGTTGAGCTCCTGTAGCACCCGCACACTGTGCTGGACAAAAGAGCCGTCCATCATCTGCAGAGAGGAAAGGCAGGAGGGACAGCCCTATCAGAAGGTCATGAGGCAGGGAGAAGGGCACCAAACAGATACTGAGCACACTAGGGATCGAAGATAAGTGGCTTGCTCAAAGTCACAGAGCTACTAAGGAATAGAGCAGAGATTTGAATTCAGGTCCTTGGATTCTAAATCTGGAACCCTTTTCACTACCCCAGAGGTAATCACTCACCCTGGAACCTGAGTGGCACTGCCTTTAGTTCACAAACACACAACAGAGACCTCAGGAGATGTTTAGGTGTCTACCTTGGGCAAAGTGCTATGGCTACAAAGATAAAAATAAAATCTCTGCCCCCCAGGAAAGAGGCACTGCTTGGCTTGGGGTGGGGAGGTCAGGGCAGGGAAGCTAGGGTGGGGGAGGGGAGGTAGGGAGGCTTACAGTATTTGGGGTGGAGGGAGAGCTACAAAGTTGGGCCTGGCACGTCACAGGGGGAAAATCATAAGGATGTATGGGAGTGTGGCTAGCAGAGGAGGCTACGGGTAAAGGCATGACTAGTGGAGGGTACAGCTAGCCAGGAAAACAGTTAACTGGGCACAATGAATAAGAAGCATGAGCAGGAGGGAATATGGTCGAATGGGGAAAAAAAAATCCTGATATGAAATTTCTATGATAAGGGTTTGGTGTCCAAGATATATAAACAATTAACAAATACATTTAAGACTAAAAGCCATTCCCAAATAGATAAATGGTCAAAGGATACGAATAGTCTTCAAAAGAAGAACTGCAAAGTATTCACACTCACTTGAAAGAATGCTTCAAATCACTAATTATAAGAGAAATGCAAATCAAACAATGCTGAAGTTTCACCTCACACCCTACAAATTGGCAAAGATGATAAAAAACAAAAACAATAGTCAATGTTGGAGGGGTTGTGGAAAGACAAGACACACCAATACATTGCTGGTGTAGTTGTGAAATGGTATAACTATTTCAGAAAACAATTTGGAATTATGCAAATAAAGTGATTAAAATATCTATAACCTTTGACCCAGAGAGTTCATTATTGGGCTTATTAATAAGAACAAAGTCCCTTTACATGCCAAAATATTTATAGCAGCACTTTTTGTGATACCTAAAAATTAAAAACAAAGTAGAGACCCATTAATTCAGGAATGGCTAAACAAATTGTGGCATGTGAATGTAATGGAATATGACTGTGCTGTAAGAAATGATGCATATGATGAATACAGAGAAATCTGGGAAGATCGATATTAATTGATCCAGAGTAAGGCAGGCACAGCCAAGAAGACAATCTACATAATGTCAACAAAAAAACCACATGCCAACAAAAACAAAACAAAAACAAAAGTGACTGTAACAAAATTACAAAGATCCAGCAGGCCTCAAACGAAGAGCTGAGAGAAAACATCCCCAACCTACCCCTTCAGAGGTGTGGAACACACAGGTGTTACACATTTATCAATAAGCTTGGGGACAGCTAGGTGGTACAGTGGATAGAGCACCAGCCCTGAAGTCAGGAGGACCTGAGTTCAAATCTGGCACTTGACACTTACTAGCTGTGTGACCCTGGGCAAGTCACTTAATCCCAATCGCCTAAAAATTTAAAAAAAAAAAAGGCTTGGCTAATTTTTTTTGTCTTAAAAACATTATTTGTTGTACGGAATGGCTGGAGGGTTGCAGGAAAAGAATACTGGGGAAAACTATGATGATGTAAAAAAATCAACAAAAACTTATGAACACAACAAAACTATAAAGCTCAAGCATGACTCGAAATAAGAGATTGGAGAGGACACCCCAAACCTACCCCTTTGTGGAGGTGGGGAGCCTGCAGGTGTTACTCACTGGACATATTTTGGACCTTTTCAAAGAAATGATCAGTTGAATTGATTTTTTTTTCTCTTCTTTTTCTCGTTTTTTAAAAAATATTTATTGTTACATGGAATGGCTCTCTGGGAGGGTTGGGAGAGAGTTACTGAGGAACTATAAAAATAGACATCAATAAAACCTTATAAAAGGAGGTAATATGGTTAGCTGAACATGGTTAATGGGAGTACAACCAACTAGTGAGTCATGATCAATGGGGAATACAGATAATGTAAGAATATGGCAAAGGGCTCATTTAATGTGAATGACAGCTAGCAGAACATGGTTAATGGTGAGTCAGTCAACGAGCATTTTTTAAGTGTCTACTATGTGCCTAGCACTCCACACTGGGGACAAGAAAGGCAACAAACAGTCTCTGTCCCCAAGAAGCTCACAGTCTACTGCGGGAGACAACATGCAAACATCTACTAAAAAGTAGATATACAGAATAATTTGGAGATGATCCACAGGGAGAAGACACTAACATTAAGAGAGACTGGGAAAAGCTTCTTATAGAAAATAGGACTTAAAGGAAGTCAGAGAGGGCGGAAGGCAGAGGAAAGGAGGGAGAACATCGAGAAAGTCTAGAGCTGGGAAATGGGAGTGCTATGTTTGAGGAACAATAGAGAGGCCAGTAACACTAAGTTAAAGAGATGGGGAGGAGTTAAGGTGTAAGAAAACTGGAAAGGTAGGAAGGGGTCAGGTTATAAAGGGCTGATCCTGAAGGTGATAGGGAGACACTGGAGATTGTTGAATACAGGACTGACATTGTCACCACCAAGATGGTGGCAGTGTCAAAGGGGGAAGGAGGCATATGTGAGAAATGTTAAAAAGGTATAATCAACAGGACTTTGCAACAGATTGGATATGGAAGAGAAGAGGAACTGAGCAGCTGACACCTAAGTTTTGAGCCTGGGTAACCAGGAGGATGATGGTGCCCTTGACAGTAATAGGAAAATTAATAAGAGTTTCCTTTTTGGGGAAAAAAATAATGAGTTCAGTTTTAGACATACTGCATTTAAGATCTCTATAAGACATCCAGTTTGAGGTGTCCAACAGCCAGCTGGAGATGGGAGAGTAGATGTCAGGAGAGAGGCAAGGGCTGGGAATCGTTAGCACAGAAATAATAATTGAATCCATAGGACCTGATGAGATCACCAAAAGATTCAGTATAGAGCATGGGGGGGCTACTGCCTATTTTCATATAGCTTGCAAGCCAGGAATGGATTTTACATTTTAAAATTACGTTTCATTGTATTTAACAACAATGTAAAAACCATTCTTAGAAGGAGTGCTGTACAAAAACAGGCAGTCAGTGGATGGCTGCAGTTTGCTGACCCTCTAGTAGAGAGGGAGAGGAGAGGAAGATCAAGAACACAGACTTGGAGGACACCCGCTGTTAGCGGCTGTGACCTGGAGGAAGACCCAGGGCAGCCGACTGAGGAGCAGGAGGAGAGTCAGGAGGAGAACGTGATCGACAGTGCCAAAGGCTACCGAGAGAAGACGGGTGGGGAATGAGAAAAGGCCACAGGATCTGGTGATGAAGAGGAGGGAGCAGTTTGGTTGGACCATTCTGCAGAGAGCTGAGGGGAGAACTGAGCGTAGAAAACCTTCTCAAGGGTTTGGCCATGGAAGGGAGGAGGGAAATGGGATGACAGCCAGCAGGTAGAGTGGAGCAGGAGGCAGCTGGATGTCCTGGAGTCAAGAAGACCCGAGTTCAAATCTGACCTCAGACACTTACTAGCTGTGTGATCTTGGGCAAGTCACTTCACCCCGTCTGCCTCGGTTTCCTCATCTGTAATATGAGCTAGAGGAGGAAATGGCAAACCAGAAAACCCCCACGGTCAGCACTGGCCTGCTACGGTCCCCGGGGTCATGACGGCGGATCAAGAGAGGGTCTTTTGGAGGGGGGAAGATCCGGGCATGTTCGTAGTCAGCAGGGAAGCGGCCGGTGGAGAGGAAGAGTCAGAGGAAAGTTAATGGGGGCACTGCCCCTGGGGCCCAGGGGGAGGGGGCGGGTCGTGGGGGGCAAGGCTGGTCGCTGGTCACGGGCAATGGCGAATTCCGTTAACAGGACACGGTAGGTGGGCAGTCCGGCCACCAGGACGGCGGGACGGCTAACAGGGTCCGGTTACAGAGCGCGACTCACGTGGAGCGCGCTAGCGGACCAGGTTAACGGGCGAGGCCGCGAGCCCCGCCGGTCCGGCCCAGTCCCGGCGCCCGGCCCCGCCCCCGCCCCGCCGCCGGCCCCTCTGCGCCTCGCGGCCCGGCTGCGCACAGCTCGACGCTCCCTAGGCGGCGCGCCTCCGCGCCTCTCTCCGCCCCTCCCCGAGAGCGCGCCCCGCCGCCTCACCTGCCCCGGGCCCGGTCAGCTCCGGAGACTCCCCAGCGCCTGCCAAGCTCCCCCGGAGGAACTGCCAGAGCCGAGCCGTGCGCAGCCGCACCGAGCAAAGCCGAGAATCACCGCCGGAAGTGACGTGAAGCTCACGAGACGGGGGCGGGGCGACGCGCGGCCTCGGGGTCAGAGCGGAGTTCGTCGCCAGAGGCCAATGAGAAGCCGCAGGGGGTTGGGGTGGAAGGCGGGGACGGTCAGCTTAAGAGGGAGCGACCGGATGTTGCTCGACCCCTCAGCCACTCAGAGGGTCTCAGAGGCGGCCAATGGGATCGCGCGGGGTGAGCGTTCCACCTCCCCGCCTCCCGCGTTGCTTAGGTAACGGCAGAGCGGCTCGCTCGGCCCCGCCCCCAGGCGGAGGCGGGCCCAACTGCGCGCGCCGGGCTAGCTGCCGGACCGCCCCGGGGTCGCCGGGTCAGCCCCTCCTCGGCCGGGGGCGGGGCTCCCCAAGAAGCCGAAAGCCGAGTCGGGGTCAAGTTCTTTTTAGTGTCCCGGGCTCGTCCGGTCCCTGGGCTAGGCTGCCTCCTTGGGGAGAAAGGAAAGTGGCCCCCTGCCCAGAGTTGGTGCCCGAGAAGCCCGGCCCCAGGGCCGGCTCCGCTCCTCCCCAGCTGGGGGACCGTGGGCAATAGCTTCACCTCTCTGGGCCTCAGTTTCCTTCTCTGTAAAATGAAGGGACTGGACCGGATCCTCTTCGAGTCTCCTGGTTCCGGGCCCCGGGGTGAAACCGTTTCTGACCACCTCCAGCTGGTGACGTCTGTTCCCTGTCCCCCTCAACCCAAGCTGGGGCCCCAGCAGCTTGGTGCAGGGGGCCTGGATTCGGATGCCGAAGACCTAGCCTGAATCTTGGCTTTGCTACAGTGACCTGTGCAGGTCATTTCCCCTGTGGACCTGTGTTTCCTCATCTGCAAAATGACGGCTCGGTGGTTTCTCAGACTCATAGAATCATAGATGTAGAATTGGGGAAGGTCCCTAGAAGTCATCTCGTTATAGGGGAGGAAACCTGAAAGTAATTTGCCCAAGATCACACAGGTGGTAGGAGGCAGAACAAGATTTTGGACCTAGATCCTGACTCCAGATCCAGCTTTCTTTCCACTATCCCACTAGATCTATGAGCATATGATTTATGTTTCCATTTTACTCCTGGTAAAGGAGCCTTCAAGAAGCTTAGTAGTTATAGGTGTTTGGAGATGGAGTCTCTCTCTCTGCTACTTACTACTTGTGTGATAAGTCACTTTTCCTCTCTGTCCTTCAGTTTCCTCCTCTAGAAAATAAGAATTTGGATTAGGTAATCTCTAAAATCCTTCCTGGTTTTAGATCCTATTACTTAAAGGGTAGCAAGGTGGGAATCAGGAAGAGCACTGGAGTCAGAGAATCAGGGTTTGAATCCCTACTCTGCTGCGTAGTATTTATGTAACCTTGGGCAAATAATTCACTCAGTCTTAGTTTCCTCATTTGTAAAAATGATGGCATTCTCCTGGATGATCTCAAATACTCCAGTTCTAAATCTATTTATCAGCCCCCTTACCACCTTCCACACATGAGCTCCACTACCCCTTTCAGCTCTAAATCCTAAAATCCTAAAATGGGTAGAGGTTCATAGGCAGATTTAAACTTAATGTTAGGAAAAACTTCCAAAGGATTAAAGCTATTTAGAATTAGAATGGGCTGCCTCTGGCGTTAGTGAGTTCTTTATCACTGGATGTCTTCAAATAGGGATTGAAATAATCCGTTGTTGAGGAGACAATTCTTGGTTATATGTGGATTGGTCTTTATAGCTTTTGAGCTTCCTTCGGACTTCCATTGGCTGTTGTGAGGAGGATTCCTGGTTAGCTAAAGTCTGGACTAGCCTCTGAGGTCCCTTCCAACTCAGATTCTGTGACTGTAGCTACCAAACCTCAGGAAAGAAGAGTATATGTCCTGTAGAGACTTTTCATTTCCTCATCCTATTCCCCAACCCTACCTAGCCCCACCCTGCCCATCCATCCATCCATCCAACCATCCATCCATCTCCCTATCCCCCTTCCTTCTCCTCCCAAGCTGAGTCACTCAGGGGGAGCTGCAGCGCTGTGTGTAATCATGGATAGAGGCCTGGAAATACTCAGTGGTGTTGAGGTCTGGGCGGCAGAGGATGATGTAGCACTTGGGGAGGAAGTAGCCACTGAAAACTCCACTGAGGCTGCTCATGATGACCAGCGCATCGATGGCTGGCAGGTATTTGCCACGGTAGACACTATAAGTGGTGGCGAGGCCAGTCCAGGAAATAAAGTAGAGGAGGAGGCTGAAGGTGATGCATTTGGCCTCGTTGTAGTTTTCAGGAAGATCCTTGCCCATATAGCTACAGGCGAAACAGCTAACTGAGAGTAGCCACGTGTAGAGAATGCTCAGCAGATAACCTGGAGAGCTATTCTTGGAACACTCCAGCACCACCAGCTCTGGGAACCGCTTATACTCCTTGGTGGGCCGGGGGGTCCAAGCCACCAGCCACATGATACATATGAGAAGCTGGATAATCGAGCTCATAACCACAAAGATCTTGGGCCCATGGTGCTGCACCCAGGAATGGTAGAGGGTGGGCATCTTGGCTGACAACTTGAAGATGACCACCAGCTGGAAGGAGCGGATGGTTAAGCAGGATAGGAAGATGGCAAAGCCCAGGGCAAAGAGAGACTGCCGCAGCAGGCAGGTGAGTGGCGTTGGCTCCCCAAGGAAGCAGTAAGGGCTACAGCCAGCTCCTGCCAGCGAACCCAGCATGAGGAAGCACATCCTGCCCCCAGCCGATCTCACCACTGGGGTGTCCAGGTGCCAGGCAAAGAGGCTGGCCACCCCTGCCAACAGGAGTAGCAGCAGTGTGTTAGCCCCCATGAGCACCAAGGAGACTGGATGGTGCCAGGCGAGGAACTCAATGGTGCGGTTGAAGCATGTCTGGCTGCCCTCTGGGGACCATTCTTCTTTCTGACATGGATGGCAAAGGTAGTGGTCTGTAAGGAAGGGGAAGAAGAACCCTGAGCAGCCTGAGAGAGCAGCAAAGTTTACTAGCTATGTGCAAAGCACTGGCCAGACTACAGGACAAACAGATAAACAGCGTTCTAGCTCGGAACACTTTGACGTAGCTTTCGTCTCAGTAAGCTCTCAGTGAAGATCAGATCACCTGCATCTCCTCATCTTGTCCAGGAGATTTCTGTTCCATGACCTGCAGTATCCTTCCTAGAGCTACATACACACATATCCTCGAGGCCCTTCTGTAGGCTCTACATTCTGTGGGTACTACTACAGCCCTGGGGTTATCAGTTATCCTTGTAGTCCACATAAACAGAAGACAGCAGACTCCTTCCTCTTGTGCTCAGTTACTATGAGGGCCCCTTTTCTCATCCAAATGGCTACATTTATTTTCTGTAGATGGCTTTCACCACTTTGAAGAGGAAGGTGATTTCCGTCTTTCCCTCCAATATTTCCATCAACCAAACTCACCTTCCTGACTTAGGGCTCAATGGTTTCTCTGTTTTGGGGTTTTTAAGAGCAGAAAGCAATATATAGCAAGAATATTCTGAGGAAGGAATATGGAAACTCCAACCTAAAACCAGACTGGGAAGAATAAGCCACTTTAACTAGTCACTAGGATTAGCACAGTGTGTGGCACATAGTAAACACTTAATAAATGTTTGTTGACTGACTGACAGACTGATCTTGGCCATGAACTACTATATAAATCCTCATTGGATAGTGTAGGTCTGCCACAAATTTGTCCACTGGAAAGATTCTACTATTTGTACCTTGGCAGAGGAAGTCAGAGAAGGACATGATAAGTATGGCATCATCAAATGGTATGAGCTCTGCAAATAGGGCCCATGTATAGGCCTCTATGAAGGAATACGAAGGGAAGCCAATTTTAATGAGGTGGTGGGAATAGGCTATTACCTTTAGGAGGTGAAATAGAAGCTATAGAACGAGCTTAGGTCTAAAGATTTATGGTTGTGTCTTTCCACCCTTGGTTTTAATCTACTCTGAGCACAATTTGTGCCCCATTATGGATACTAAGCATAGGAAAGCTGCCTAATGAGATAATAATAACTCACATTTATATAATACTATAAGTTTTATAAAACCCTTGTTGCTCAGTTGTGTCCGACTCTCAGTGACCCCATTTGGGGTTTTCTTGGCAAAGATTCTGGAGTGGTTTGCCATTTCCTTTTCCGGTTCATTTTACAGATGGGAAAACTGAGGCAAACAGAGGTTAAGTGAATTACCCAGGGTCACACAGCTAGTAAGTGTCTAAGGCCAGATTTGAACTCAGGAAGATGAGTGTTCTTGACTCCAGGCCCAGCACTCTACGTACTCTGGCACTGCCTAGCACCTACAAAGCACTTTACATATATTATTTCATTTGATCCTTAAAAGAGCTTGGTGAGGTAGGTACTTCTTTTTATCCCCGTTTTATGAATTTAGAAACACTGAGTTGGGATTAAATGAATTGCCCAGAGCCACATAGTATGAATCTGAGGCAAAATCTGAGCCCAGGTCTTTCTATCTCCAATATTTCTGCACATTACCTCATGATGAGGTGACCGTGGAGCCTCGGTTCTCCCTTTCCTGATGAGAATAACTGCTTTGCAAACTTTGAAGCATGATACAAATGTCTGTGATTACTATACAGGGTGACATAAAAGCCTGCTAAGACTTGGACATGTTGGTCTCGTGAGGGGGTGGGAGGGGAGGAGTCCTTTCATCTGTGGAACCGTGAGGAAGCAGGCTGGCCACTCACCGCTGCTGTTGAGGAAGGTCCCAGCTGGACAGGGCACACATTCAAAGCAGCAGTGGTGCAGTCCCACTATCCTCCGTGCCTCTCCTGCTAGACAGTCCTCGGAGCACACTGACCGAGGCACCTGGATAAAACCACAGGCATCCCCACTTCAGACCGGAAGGGGCCACAGCCGAAGGAGGGGGATGAGCAGGAGGGACCTTAAAAGGCAATACTGTAGAAAGGCTCAGGAAGCCAGGCAAGAGGGACGGAGGTCAGAACCTCGCCATTTCAGGGCTCGCTTACTGGACAATCTCCCTTCGGACTTTCCTAGTAGACATAGATAAGAGTTGTGCCCTCAAAACCGCCTCAGGGTCTGGCATGCTGCGAATTGTTATTTACAGCTTTGTGGAAACTGTCCTACCCTGACATCTCCCAGTCACCCCTAAGTTCTGGACACTAGATTGCTTTCTTGAGAGTGACCTGGCCAATGACTATCCCAAGGTGATTCCCAGAGGTGGCTTCTTACCTGTTTTTTCCCTTTGTACCAGTGGATTTTAGTCTGATCTATTTCCAAGTGAACTGGGTCCCCTGTGGAAGCTCCAATGACTTTGAAGGTCCAGTTAGGGCCATTCCAGTCCCATGTAACAATATCATATCCACTGAACGGATCTCCATTTTCATTAAAGGACACAGAGTTTCCAAGCAGCATGAAATCCACCTTCTTGATCTCCTCCAGCAGCTACAATATATAGCAACCATGTACCCCAACCACAAACTGTACAGAGCTTCCTTTGAGAACCCAATCTGAGCAAAGCCAAAGAATGCAAGATAAGAGCTGTTTAAAAAGAGAGGAAATAGGGCAGCTAGCTGGCACGGTGGGTAGAACACTGGCCTTGGAGTCAGGAGGACCTGAGTTCAAATGTGACCTCAGACACTTACTAGTTGTGTGACCCTGGGCAAGTCACTTAACCTGACTGCCTCCTTCATTGAGAGAGAGAGGAAGGAAATAAAAGCACCAAGGTAGAAATCTACTTTCTTGGAAAGTGGGTTATTTAGAGAGAGATAGCCCCTTCCATGGGATCTCTTTCCTTTCCTAAGTGAGATGAGGGTTCCCCTGTTGAGGTTTTTACCTCTAAATTTCATCTTCAGAAACCCAGGGGCATGACAGGGAAGAGAATGGGAAAATGTGGGGAGATGAGAATTTTCCTCGGGGGACTTGCCTTTGATTTCCTGGCTTTCCCATTCCCTTCCTACACTGAGAGTGTAGAGAGGTCTACTCTGATCTGGTGCTCTGAGAGGAATGGAGTGAGTCCCCTGGGTACCAAAGGATGTCTGGAGAATAATCCTTCCAGAATAGTGCTTTGTGGAGGCCACGCTTCCCCCTCTCACCTGCCAAGGATAGATCTTGCCTGTGGTGCAGACTCCTGAAGAGCAGCCCAGGAGCTGGTGCAGCCCGTGGGCCACAGCATACACAGCAGCGTACACATTGTAGGCTGAACTCATGGAAAATGCACTCAGCTCATTATTCATATCTGTTGTAAAAAACAGATGCTGATTACAGATCTGATGGTCTCCATCCTGGGCAGGATCAGCTGATGACTCTGAGGTCTTCTTAGCCTGGGTGTAGGCCTCTTCAAACTCCTTTAATCCAGGGATCTGTCTCTGCGGGATAGCTACCCCAATCACCGTCCCAATCCTTGAAATGCCAGACACCTGTGTGATGTAACTGGAGATGGACCAGTCTTCTGTGGCTAGCCACACTCTGTCAGTCACGTTCCCCAGCACCACTGCCTTAAAGAAGACGTGGGCCTGATTTCTAGTACAGAAGACAATCACCACCTTGGCTCCCAACTTGATGAGGGACAGCACCATATTCTGCATGATGCTGTCTTCAGCTTGGGCTGAAATGGGCACAACATCCTTCTGGGCGATGCAGATTTCCTCTTCAGTGACCAAATCCTCCAGCATCTGCACCCCCTGCAAACCATAGTCATTGTCACTGCCAATCACGGAGATCCAAGACCACTCAAACTTCTTCAGCAGCATCACAATCGTCTGAACCTGGTACTTGTCACTCGGGATCGTGCGCAGGAATGAGGGGTATTCCTTCTTCTCACTTAATGTGGTGCTGGTTGCCCCGTAGCTGATCTGTGGGGAAGCAATCGATCATAGACCAAAGATTAAGTACTCTGCAAGGTGCTGGGGACACCAAGATGCAAGTAAAATAATCCTGCTCTCATTTTTACCTTCAAGGGAGGGAGGGGTGTGTGTGTGTGTGTGTGTGTGTGTGTACACACGCATGCACACATATACACAAGTATATACAAAACAGGACTATGAGGAATTGGGAGGTAGGGAGAAATCAGGAAAGGCTTCATGAAGAAGGGGGCACTTGAATCTTTTAAGGGATTCTAAGAGGCAGAGGTGAGGGAGCAGTACAGGCCAGGCATGGAGGACAGCCAGGCAAAGGCACAGAAAGTCAATCTAACTGAACCACAGCATAGATGAAGGGCCATATTGTATAATAAGGCTGGAAATATAAGTTAAACTCAGGTTATGGAGTACTTTAAATGCCAAGCAGAGAAGTTTACATTTGAGCCAAGAGTAATAGGAAGCTTCTAGAGTCCATTGAGAAGCTGTGTGGTGTAGTAGGTAGAGTACTGGCCTGAGAGGAAGACCTGAGTTCAAATCCTACCTCAGATACATATGAGCAGTGCGACCCTAAGCAAGTCATTTACTGTATCTGTGCTTCTGTCTCCTTATTTATAAAGTCTCTTCTGGTTCTAAATCTATGATTCCACGGCCCTATGAGCTGGGGAATGACATGGCTCAGACCGGTACTTTAGAAATATCACTGTTGTGCTTATATGTAGAAAGGACTGGACCGGGGAGAGATGTGAGGCAGAGACAAATGAACAGGCTCATGGAGTAGTCCAGGTGAGAGGCAATGAGGGTCTGTACTAAGATGGCAAATGTCTGAGCAGAAAGAAGGGGACATTTGGTAGAGTCAGGTCAGTGTGCATTTATGAAGTGCTGGCTATATAACTATATGGCATGGTTCTTAGTGTGGGGATATGAAGAAAGACACAGTCAGTGTCTGATCCCAGGGAGTTAACAATTTAATTGAGGAGACAGTATGCTAACAGTTATGTACAAACAAGACAGTGACAGGATGGATTAGAGCTAATCAACAGAGGAAAGGCCCTAACATTAAAGAGAATAAGAAAATCCTTTTTGTAGAAGGTAGAATTTTATCTGAGACTCGGTAAAAGCCAGAGAGGGTAGGAGGCAGATAGGAGGAGAGAGCACTTCAGTCGGGGGGAATAGCCAGAGAAGATTCCCCAGAGATGGATTGTCTTGTAGAAGGAACAGCAAAGAGGCCAGTGTCACTGGGTCATAGAGTACAAAGTGTAAGAAGACTGGAAAGGTAGGAAGGGACTAGGTTATGCAGGGCTCTAAAAGACAGAGAAAAGACGGGGAAGTACCAATTAGCAATGTCTACCTGGGCCAAGTGAGATTGACTGGCCTAGAGTAACACCGATGTTGGGAACCTGGTAGTGGTGGTCTTGAGAGAACTATGGAAGAAGAGGGGTGCATTTGGAAGAAAGTGATTCAGAAGGAAAAGGTGGTCAACAGTGTCAAATGCTACAGAGAGGTCAATAAGGATGAGAACTGAGAGTAGGCCTTTAGCCTCAGCAGTTAAGAGATCATTGGCAACTTTGAAGAAAGTCGTTTCAGCTAAGTGAGGAGGTCGGCCTTCAGACTGCAGAGTGTAGGAAAGAATGAGAGGAAGGAAGTAGGGGGGATGAGTGTAGAAATCTTTTTTTTTTTTAGGAGTTTGGCTGAGAAAAGGAGAGACAAGACAATCATTTGAGGAGACGGTAGTGCTTTTGAAGGATAGGAGAGACAGGCATTTTTGTAGGCAGAGGGAAGGACTGAGGAAAAAGAGAGGTCAGTGTTTGAGGGGGAACAATTCTGTGCAATCTGCTGGAAAAGATGAGAATGGATGGGATTCCAAGCCAGGTGGAAGAGTTGGCATGGGCCAGGAGAAGGGTCACTTATTTATCAGACATTCATCCTTGGAGGGGGATAGACAATGGCATCAAGGGGTCATGAAATAAAAAGAAGGGAAAAAAGGAAATGTGTGTAGACCAGTCAAAAACCAATGATTGACAGCCATTGGCTAAACGTGAAAATAACACAGGGATAAGCTGGTGCATGTTAATGGCTCCTACACTAGTGGCCTGGACCAAGGACCCAAAGGCTCCAGCTTACCTGGGGGATCAAGAATGTGCTCAGTAGAGATGCAGATATGGCAGTCTGCTCAGAGCTGCTTGGCCCAATCACCGCCACTGCCTTGGGGTAATAGCTGAAGAAGTTTTCAGGAATCTTGATATGATTGCCTCTGGGCTGGGAGAGAATGCTCAGTGTGGCATACAAACTCGCAGACTTTGAACATATGTCATAGAGTTCATAGCCCAGAGTGATATTGGGAAGCAGAGAGCTGGAGTTGTTGATCTCCTCTATGGCATACCTCATGGCCTGGAAGAGGTGGTAGCCATGGGCATTGAAGGTCTTGGACCTGTGGGAAAGGCAGGGCCAGAGAAGTAAGGATGGTCATCAGCACTGAGCCTCCAAACCTGAGGCTAAGACCTTTCTCCTCCTAACTGAGGTAGGGTTCTAGACCTCTAGATTACGGAATATCTAACATTTATGTACTGCGTTAAGGTTTGCAAAGGGCTCTATGTAGATGATCTCATTTGATTCAGACCTTCATGTTTCCTTGAAGATCTGTGATATAGATGGGACATTACCCCCATTTTACAGGTAAGAAAACTGAGGAGGCCCAGAGAGGGGATGTAACTTACCATTAAGTGTCTGGGGCAGAATTTGAGCTCAGTTCTTACCCCAAGGTACCATCTGCTCTATTATCTTTAGTCACTCAGTAACTTGTAATAGCGACCCTCTTATTGTAAGGATACTTAGTCTACTGAAAGTAGAGGCTAGAGAGAGGCTAGCCTAGGAGTCTGGCAGACCTGGGTTCACGTTTCACCTCTGACACATGGGACCATGGACAAGTCAGTGAACCTTTTGGTGCTCCAGACTTACACTCTAATACTATTAGTTGCAGAGAAGATACCCACTTCTATCAATGGAGGGAGTTTCCTCACCTGGGAGGTCCAGAGATGAATGAGATCACAAGTCCAGTCACTGTTGTCCTATTATTCTACGTCTATAAACTTGGCTTGTCCATGCCAGGCAGCATTGCAAAGAGGCAAATTTATCACTCAATGTCAGGAAAAATTTCCCAAGTCATTAGATCTATTCACTAGTGTGATGGGGGCTACTTGGGAAGAGAGGGCCTAGTTTGTGGATGTCTTCAGGCAGAGGCTACTTTTTTAGAACTTTTTTTTTTTTAAGGCCATTGGGGTTAAGAGATTTGCCAGGGGTCACACAGCTAGCAAGTGTCAAGTGTTTGGTTTGAGGCTGGATTTGAACTCAGGTCCTCCTGACTTCAGGGCCGGTGCTCTATCCACTGCGCCACCGAGCTGCCCCTGGCAGAGGCTACTTGCTGGACATCCTGTAGTGGGGGGTTCCTTTTTGGGTATAGGTTGGATTAAATGGCTCCTCCCACTCTAAAATCCTGTGGGAAGGAAGGGAACAAGAGCTTTTAAAGCACCTATTATGTGCTAGGCACTGTGCTGAGTGCTTTACAAATCTCTCATTTTATTCTCACAACAACTCTGGATGGTAGGGGCTATTATTATCCTTATTTTACAGATGAGGAAACTGAGGCAGACAGATGTTAAATGACCTGTCCAACATGCCCCAGCTAGTAACTGTCCGAATCAGGATTTGAATTCAGGCTTCCTGACTCCAGGCCCCATTCTCCGTGCATTATGGCACCCCCTACTTGTGATTCTGCATGTGTCAGCATTTTTGGAAGGAAAAGAGAATTCAGATTTTTATCACCATTTTCTGAGGCAGTATGAAAAGAGAAGCCATTATTACATGGTCTTTTCTCTTGAGGAGTCTAGTTGAAAAGACAAAAAGATACTTGAAATGTGGAGCCTAATTGTAATTCAGCAGAAAAACCCAAAGCAAAATAATCAACTGAATAAGGGCAGAGGGAAGAGAATAAAAGATAGATGGGGATGGGTGAGCATCCCAGGGAAAGATTCCCAAAGGAAGCCTGTCTCGAGTGAGCTCTTGGCGATAGAGAATGGTGTAAATGGGTGTTAGGAAAAGGGAGGGCAATTCAGATGGAGGTCCTGGTCCTGCAAAAATCCAGAGGCAAGGAAATAGCAAGTTGACTCCATGTTGAATGGATTTCATTGTGGAAGGAAGCAGGACTTCTGTGTGGATGACTTCCACGACATAGTGGTGCAGATCCCTCACTTACCTCTCACACAGGGTCACCTCAGGTCTGCCTCTGACTTCTAAGACAGAGTGGATGGCGAACAATCCTGCAATGACATGATCCCCGGGCATCTTGAAGTCAGAAGGGGTCTCCATTTCTTGACAGCTGAAAAGACAGGAAATGAAAAGAGGCAGGTAGACAAGGTGAGATTTAACATGGAACATGCTGCTCAGATGGACAGTCTAGCTCTGCTCGTCCTCTTTATGTCAGAGGTGCTCCTGTCCCGCGAGCTTGGGACGATTGAAATAGGCAGAATCTGAAGCTCGAACCTCATCCTCCTCAATTTTATGCTTTGGAAAGGGGCGGGCCTTGGATATGATATACAAAACCCAACTCCAGCAGCTAAAATGCTTGAGTTGGACTTCCTGGCTTGTGGTTCTGCGTAGGAACCTAAGGGGTGCTCTTGGGGCAAATGAGCGGATGACTTGTCCCTGCCTCAACCAGGTGGCACCCATTGCCTCTCATTTGACAATTGTGGATTTAGATCAGGAAGGGTGTGGTGGAGTTTTTGTTGTGCCAGAGTTTTGCTAAACCCTGGGAGGCCGCATCAAAGGAATCCATTTGTATAATTTAGCTGGGGGGTCTACCCTACTGTATATTGGAACTAGAGCAACAGATCCTTCGATAACCATCCTCCCAAGGCAGTTCTCACAGATGAGGTTGTTCTGCACCTCTTTATTGCACTTAGATGGGAATAGGGAAGGAGCTGTGCTGTTGGAGCCCGGGGACTTCTTGGAGTGAGAGAGACAGTGTATTACTGTGGTCAATGGACTTGGAGTAGAAAGCTTGGGTTCAAATCTCTAAGAAAGGCACTTGACTTCTCTGTCTCAGTTTTCTCATCTGTAAAATAAAGGAGTTGGTTTTAGCCTCAAAGGTCCCTCAGAGCTTTAAATTTATGTTGTTATTCCGTCGCTTCCAACTCTTTGTGACCCCGTTTGGGGTTTTCTTGGCAAAGATACTGGGGTGGTTTGCCATTTCCTTCTCCAGCTTACTTTACAGATCAGGAAACTGAGGCAAACAGGTTGAAGTGACTTGCTCAGGGTCACACAGCTAGGAAGTGTCTGAGGCCAGACTGGAGCTCAGGAAGATGTCTTCCTGACTCCAGGCTCAGTGCTCTATCCGTTGCGCCACCTAGCTGCCCAATCTATATAACTCTTTGAATTCCTCAGCCTGGGGTTAACTTTAGATCTGTGAACTTTTTTTTTTAAATGCTTCCATAACTTCCAATATAATTTATTTCTTTTGTAATCCTATGCATTCTATTTTATGCATTTAAAAACCTTATTCTAAGAAAGGGTCCATAGGCTTCATCAGGCTGCCAAAGGGATCCATGACCCCCTCCCCAAAATTAAGAACCCTTGCCTTCACCACCGCCAACCATCTATGGCTTTTTTGAGCACGTCTGGTATACCATCTGTTAGAGGTTATATCTCTGACTACAAGGCCGGCATACTATCCATTCTCTGACATGAACTATCTGTGCTTGTGATACATTCCCTATTATGCTGTAGGCTCCATGATACATTCCCTATTATGCTGTAGGCTCCATGACGTGTTTTTTATCTCATCTAATTTTTCTTATCCCCAAATCCACTCAGTTCAACCCAGAGTCAATGACTAAACTCTTTACATCATCAACAATTCTATCTTCCTGACTCTGACTCCAGGGCTTTCTCCACAAGATACCACCTGTTATCTGGAAAAACAAAAGAAAAAAAAAACTCTTAGTGGGGGAAGGCAATAAGCATTTATTAAGCGCCTACTATGTGCCAAGCACTTTTTCCTCGTTTGACCTCACAACAACCTTGGGTGCTTTTATTATTCCATTTACAGATGGGGAAAGTGAGGCAGGCAATTGGTCAAGTGTCTTCCTTGTCCAAGGTCAGCCTGCTGCTAGAGGAAAGATTTGCACTCAGGTCTTTCGGGCAGCCCAGGCCCCGATCTAGGGATCGATATGACTCGTTTTGGGTAGATGGGGCTGACCGGGCACACGCCAGACCCCTGGGCCCCATGGACTTGGGTGGTGAATGTCCATCTGTGTTTCGGTATGTCCAGTTTCCTCTGCGAGCCTTCACCTGGGCCCTCAAAGCTGCGGTTCGACTCGGGGAGCACAGGGCCCCCAACAATCGTCGGAGGGCCTGCGGGCAGGGGCAAACCCGGGGTCCGCTCCCGCTTTCCGTGCTCGCCCCCCACCCACCCAGTCCCCCGGGTTCCTCCCTTGGGCTAAAAGACAAATGTATGCAAAACGAGGACATGCAAACGAGCGCCTGCTTTGGTTCGGCCCGTCAGTCCCGGGGGCTGGGGGAGGGGAGCGCGAGCGCCAGCTGGGGCACCTCATCCGGAGGCGGGGGAGGGGGAGCGAGGCGCTGCAGACGCGCTGCGCCGGCGGTCCACGTGAGGGCGCCCGCGAGCCCGGAGCCCCGGCGCTTCCGTTCCCATGACACCCTCGGGGGCGGGGGAGGAAGAAGCCTGGCCACTTCTCGCGAGAGGTGCTGAGGGAAGGGAGCGGCGGGAGCCGGCGGGCGCGGCATGGCCGACGTAATGGTCTACGGGAAGGAGAGCTCCAGCCGCCTGGGCTGGACGCGGTTCCGCCGGGCCCGCTCCCCGCTAGGCGTGGGCCGCCGGGCGCGGCGGCGGGCCCGCTCCTTGGCCATCGGGAGCCAGCGGCGGCTACGGCTGCGACTGCAGCAGGCCGAGGCGGCTGGCGTAACCTGGCTTGACGAGGAGGAGGCGGCGGAGGCTGTGGTGGTGGGAGCCGAGTGGAGCGCACGGGAGAAGAAAGCGAAGAAGAAGAAGGCACGGCGGCGGGAGCGCGCCGAGCGCGAGCGCGAGCGGCGGGAGCGCGAGGAGCAGCGGCTGGAGCGCGAGGAGCGCGAGTGGAGGCAGCTGCGGCAGCTGCGCGAGCTGCGGTCGAGGCGCGAGCGCGACGAGGACGCGGGGGAGCGCGCGGCGCCTGTGCCCGCGCCGGAGCCAGAGGCGGGCGGCGAGTCCGATGGGCCCGAGGAGCCGCCCCGGGCGCCCGGCCACGGCGAGCCCTTCGTGGTGCGGGGCAAGGCCGGCCTGCTGATGCTGCTGAGCCACGCGCAGGTCAGCCCCGGGGCTGGGGGCTGGGGGAAACAGGCCTGCGGCCCTTGGAGACCTAGAGGCTGTAGGCCGGCTGTGATTGGCGTGACGGAAACAGTTCCCTCCCCCAGACGTCTAGCACCGCCCCCTCCCTTACCGAAGGGAAACTGAGCCGGAGAGCCTGGGGAAGGGGCGCCTGAAGTTAGTGCATTTCGGGAAGCCCGGAGACCCTCCTCTCAGCCCACCCTACCCGCCCCCACCCGGGGAGGCGGAAGCCCACGGGGGATGCGCTGGTCTGAGCGGTCATTCATTCCAGTCCTGAGCTCGTTCTCCAGGCCACGCCCCTTTAATTTAGTGATAACTGATAGCAGAACAAATCCTCTTAATAAAAGGATTTGTTCTCTAAAACAAATTTTGACTCAGTCAAAAGGCCTCACCCAAGAATCTAGAAGGCCACAGGTTCCCCATCCCTGATAATCTCCTGGTCCTTTCTCGGGCGCCTGGGACCCAGTTTTCCTGCCCTGGAGGGAAACAATGTTTTCACTCACCAAAAATAGAGGAGCCTTTACAAAGAAAACAAAAAACAAAACGGATACAAGTTGTAGCATAATTAACCATGCCTGGTTGGGTGTCGGCTTTGATACTTAATACCTGGGTCTCCGCCTCTCCGGGGCTCAGTCTTTGTCCGAGTGAGAGGGCTGACCTTTTAAAACCCGGTGAATCGATGACATCGCTAGGCCTTCCGTGCCGGGGTCCTCTGCCCAGCCGGGATAAGTCGTGGGCCACAAGACCTATGCTTGAAGAATGATTGTTGGAATGGAAAGGGATTGATTTTAGAGATGAGCCCATCATAGATTTTAAGTCGGAAGGGACGTTGGTCCCTCAAAAGCGTTTTACAGAGGTGGAAGCTAAGGACCAAGGATGATGAGAGATTTGCTTGTTAAAGTTTTTATAGTTGTGGAGTGGAACCTAGTACACAGGAGTCTTGGCTCAGTACTCTTTGTGTTACACCATGCTGGTTTCCAGAAATGGAAGTTCCTTTTTTAAAACAAGGTTTTCTGATGTCCAGATTCCAAATATATGATCTGAAATTGAAGACATGCTACTTTTGACTAGTTTGTTTAGTGCTGGCAATGGCATAGTCCCCCATTAGCCGGTTGGATTGTTTTTTTTTTTTTTCTTTTTTATTAGTGGCTAACAGTACTCCCCATTCATGTAGATGTTGCTTTTCCCTGTAGGATGAGAGTGTGTTGGAGACTGTATTTTGTCAGTATCTTACCACAGCCTGATTGGCTTCAGTTGAGGAGGAGGAGTCTTCAGTAGATGTAGAGGCATAGCTCTTAGAGCAGACCTTATACCTGTCAGCTTTAAAAAAAAAAAAAAAAAGTTTGATTACTTTCAGTATAACTGGTTTCCTTTATACCTTTGTATTTTATGCATTTTAAAACCTTCTGAAAAGGGGTTCCTAGGTTTCACCAGATTTCCAAAGGGATTTACGTCACAGAAAAGAGGAGGAACCACTGCCCTAGAGATTGTAGTAGGCTGCCCTTCCCTGGGAGGTCTTAGAGTGGAAAGAATCCCTTATCTAGAGTAAGAAGATTTGGGACAGAAGACCAGTTTGGCTACTCACCGCTTGTGTGACCTTAGTCACCAAATGGGTGAGTCAGTGAATTAAAAGCATTTACTAAGCTCTGTGCTGAATGCTGAGATGACAAATAGAAAAATCAGGCATCTTCCTGCTCTCAGAGCTCTCACCTTGTAAAACAAAGTTCACCTACAGGGCCGATGGAAAGTCTTGGAGGGTATGAGGGTAGATGAGCAGCAAGGCTATGGACCCATTAAATTAAATTCTGAGCATAGCAGGAGGACAGTGGCAGTGGCCCTTTATCTCCTAGGAGGGAATGGAGCTGTTGACTGTCATCTCATCCAAACCCTGTGAGCAGTCCAAGGACCAGGGGGATGGTGGTTTCTGGTATATAGGAAGCCCTGAATAAATGCTTGTTGAAGAGCTACTTTCCCTCCTCTTGCCTTCCTGCCCCCCGGCCAGCCAGGATGGATTCAGGATGTCCTGGAGGAGGGGACAAGGGAAATCGTCCCCCATGGCAACTTTTTGAGCCCCATTTCTCAGCTCTGTAATGAGGTGAATAGAGTAGATCAGAACTTCTTAACCCTAGGATTTTCTGGTAAAGCATGTGCATCCCTTTTCAGGAGGATGTTTTTAAATGTGTTAAATAGGATGCTTAGGATTACAAAGGAAACCTATTATATTGCTCTACAGTTGCCAAAAATTTTTTTAAAGTTCATGGACTCTAGATTGACAATCCCAAGTCCCTTCCTGCTCCCAAGTCCTTATTTTCTTGGTGCTTAGAAATTAATCCTTCCTTAGATAACATGGTGGTAAATGAGTTCTTTAAAACTTTGTTATTATTTGATAGTTGGTCTCCAAATTTATAATCTTTAAGTTTCTTGTTCTTTTCTCTTTCCCCTACTAGTCTTTGACCTTCACTGGGAAGTGTCAAATGACCTGTCTTTATGGCCGAGTGCAGGTATTTGGTTTTATCATCAGCCAGGGCCAGCCAGCCTATGACCTTTATTCTCCCCACACCAACTGTGCCCTAACTATTGAAGCAATTAGCTACCCGATGCCAGAGAAAACCCTAAAGGATATGAAACTGGAAGTCCGCTCTTTGATCAAAGATCATCTTTCTTCAGGTAATTAAAAGATCTGCAGAATTATCACTATTCATTCCTCAAATATAAATTAAGCATGTATGTAGATGTGCAGGGCGCTGTGCTCAGCCCCGAGGAATCCGAAGTAAAGTAAGATACAGCCTCTGCCCCTTTTGGTGCTTATTGTAGGGGTGAGGGGCAGGGAGGGTACCCAGGTCCCAGGTACACATGTGACTGATAGAACCTGGCATGTGATAAATGCCTTGAAAGCTGTAGCCTGGGTTTAGAGAGCATGTTTGCTGAGGAGCTGGTGGCGGGCATCATTTCACCTGGGCCCAAAGGTATTATAGGTAAAAGAGACGCATGAGGGAATAGGGATGGGAAACCAGGTTCATGGAAGGAGCAGTGAGCAGCGTGGCTTGGCCAAAGGGCAGGTTATTAGTAGGAGAGCAGCAAGCTTTTAGACTGGGAAAACAGATGGGAGCCATACTGTGAAGGGTCCCAGGAAACAGACTAGCTCTTAATTAATTCAGTAGGCTGTGAAGGTTTTGGAACAGGGAAATGAATGACTTGTCCAGAACGTATTGTAGAAAGGTCAATCTGGCAGGGAATATAGGATGAATTGGAGGGAAGAGAAGAGGGAGACAAGGATAGCACTTAGAAGGCTGTGGAAGGAGTCCCTACTAATTATAAGCATGTATTAAGCACCTGCTGTGTGCCAGGCACTGGGCTAAGTGCTAGGGATACAGAGAAAGGTAAAAGACAGTCCCTCCCCTCCAGGAGTTTGGACTAATGGAAGAGATATATGTACAAACAAGATATAGACTGGATAAATTAGAGATGGTAAAGACAGGAAAAACCTAAAAGCCTAAAAGGGGATTAGGAAAGATAAACGGGGCACAGTGCGCAGCATGCCAGGTCTGGAGTCAGGAGGAGTGAGTTAAAATCTGGCCTCAGACACTTACTATCTGTGAGACCCTGGGCAAGTCACTTAACCTCTCTTTGCCTCAATTTTCTTATCTATAAAATGAGGGGTAATAGTAATAGTACTTACTTTTGAAGTGCTGCTGTGAGGCTCAGATGAGGTATTTGTAAAGTGCTTAGCCAAGTGTCTGGCACATAGTAGGTACTTAATAAGCACTGGTTTCCTTCATTCTTTCCTTCTCATAGAGAAGATCAGGGATTTAGCTGGGACTTGAAGCCAGGAGATGGATATAGGAGGGAGAGTATTCCAGGCATGGGGAACAGCCATTGAAAAAGCCCAGAGCTGGGAGATGAGTGTCTCATATGAGGAACAGCCAGGAGGCCAGTATCACTGGGTGGCGGAGTATGTGAGCTGAGTGAGATGTAAGAAGGTAGAAGGGCCAACTTATGAAGGGCTTGAGTGTCAGAGTGTTTTATCCTTGACTCTGGAGGTGGTAGGGAATCACTGGAGTTAACTGAATAGGAGGGGGATTGATGTAGTCAGACCTGTGCTTAAGAGAAACCATCTTGACAAGGCGAGCTGGCTGGAGTGGGCAAGACCTGAGGCTCTTGAAGTGGTGCAGGCGTTCGGTGATAGGGCACACAAGGTGGTTTTGAGCCAGGCATTGCCTGGACAGAGAGGTGTGAGCTAGTCTTTACCTCCAAGGGGGTGTCAGTCCAGTCTGGGAAATAGCACTGCAGGAGTTCTTGTCCTGTAGACGAATGACAGCTTCTGAAGTAATTTGCTTTGTTCTTTTTGCAGCTAACGCGTTTCACGTGATAAAACAGTTTTCTCCTATGTGTTCCATTGTCCTGCTAGAAAGTCTGGAGACCCCTGCTACAGACTTCATCCTGAGCTACCCAGCTTTTTCTCACCTTTTCTCAGGAAAGGTAGTGTTCTTCACCTACTTTATGGAGCTGTATTCCGTCTGGCCTGGTGGAGCCAGCCCTACTCAAAGAAAGGCCTGTCATCTCCTCCCGAGGGATGCTCACTTGTGGCCATGTTAGGGAGAGACCAGATGTCAGTGTGAAGGAGTGCCTGACTGACGTCAATGACCAGTTGGGTTAGATGAACGAGACATTGATTGGATGGGCTGTTAGAGGGCTATTGGGTTGGTAACTCTACCTGACTTCTCCCTCTCAGTCTCTTCTTCCAGGTCATCCCATTAAGCTTGGGGGTCCTCCAGGGCTCTGTCCTGAGCCCTCTTCTCTTCCTTCCTCACCAAGGTTCTTCACCGTTTTTGTCACAGCCCCCTGTGGCAGTCACTCTGGTGAAAACTTTGGATCCCTTCTCATAATACTGTTTTTTAAATACGTAAAATAAAATGCAGAGGATTACAGAGGAAGCCATTGATATTGAAACATAGCTATCAAGATATTATAGAAACATTCATAGACTCCAAGTTAAGAGCTCCAGCTCCAGAACATCTTGCTGTGTGGTCTCAGCAGCTCCTGTGGGTTCAGTTGTCATTTCTGTGCTGGTGACTCCTGGATCTATGTAATAATATCTTAATCTCTCTGAGCTCCAGTCCTCCGTCACCTGTGGCCTCTGGGACATTTTGAACTGGATGCCCCACAGACATTTCAAACTCAGTGCCAAACTCATTCTTAGCCCATAAACCCTCCCTTCTTCTGAATTTCCCTATTACTGTCCATGGAATCAGCATTCTCACGGTCACTCAGGCTCACAGTTCTGGAGTCATTCTTGACTATTGGCTCTCCCTCGCCCATGTTCTCCCCTCCTTCCGCTCATTGGTTTTACCTTCACAGCCTGTCTCATCTCAGCCTGGTGCAGGCCTCATCATCTCTACCTGCTGGTTGGCCTCGGTGCTTCAGTCTCTCTTCCCACTAATCTGTCCTTCACTCATCTGCCAAAGTGATTTTTCAAAAGCAGAGGCCTGAGTCACCCCCACCTCAGTGAACAGCAGAGGCTTATTACCTTTAGGATCAGATGTAAAATCCTCTTCTTGGCTTTTAAGCCCTTCACTAGCTGGCCCCTTCCTGTCTTTGCAGTCTTAACTTACTGCCCGCCACATCAAAGTCAGCAAGCCTTTCTTAACCACTTGCTAAGTGCCAGGCATTGTACTGAGCACTGGGAATACAGATGGAAGCCACAGGAGACAGGCCCTGCCCTTAGGAAGCTTACATTCCAGTGGGGGAAGGCAGGATGCAAAAGGGAGCTGAAGGAGAGAACATGGCCAACCTGGGCCCTTCCCTAAAATGGAAATTCCAGGAACAATTGACCAGTCAGAGGAAGGGGAAGAAGGAAGGGAGGAATGAAGGAGGGAGCAGAGGAAAGAAGCAAGTGTTTTTTCAGTGCTAAGCATTTACAGATATGATCTATTTGATTCTGACAGCCACCCTGGGAGGTAGGTGCTGTTATTATCCCCATTTTACAGTTGAGGAAACTGAGTCAGGCAGAGGTGAAATGACTTGCCCAGAGTCACCCAGGTAATAAGTTTATGAGGCTGGATTTGAACTCCTGACACCAGATCCAGCATTCTCTCCACTGGAGCACCTTCTTTCAGGGTAAAAAGGCTCCTGGAGAAAGAAGTTCGGAGAGTTAGGAGCAGAGCCTGGAGGGGAATGGAGTGAATGAACTCGATTGTCTGATGGCATTGGCCTTCTTGCCTCCGATGGGTCTGTGCCCTGGCTCGCTCCATCCCCGTGCCTTGCACACTCTCCCTCTTCTCCTCCATGTCCTGGCTTCCTTCAGGAATCAGTTCAAATCCCACCTTCTGTGGATGCCTTTCCCTCTGTGATTACAGTCTTCCATTTGTACTATGTATGTCTTGCATGGAAAACCTTTTTTTGTGTGTTGTTTCCCCCGTTATTAGAATGGGAGTTTTGAGGTCAGAGACTTGTTTTTGCTTTCCATTGTATCTGCAGCACTTAGCATAGTGGCAAGTAGTTTCCCAAGGCTGGTTTGTTCATTTCTTTTTCTTGGTCCTTTCCTCTGTAAAGAGAGCTGGCCCGGAGCCAGGAAGCCCCCTTAGTTTGCATCTCGATGCTGACACCCTGCCTTCATGGCCCTGGGTCAGTCACCTCCTTACCTATCTGCCTTGGTAGAGAGGGAGTATTCTCATCCGGGAATTCCCTGCGTCACTGAAGTCATGGAAGTCCAGGTCCTCCCTTTCCTGCCCACCCTTCTGTTTTTTTCCTTTTGTTTTCATTTTGTTCCATCTACTCCATCTGCTTTTTATTCTTTATTGCTCTTTATTGTCTTCCCAAGTTTTCTACTGATACTGTAGCTTTTCAGATTCTTCCTCCTTAGTACCCTAGAGCAGTTCATCTCTAGTTAAGTTTAGTTTTGAGTAAAAGAAACAGCCATGATGCTAAAGTTGGGGAGTTTTTACAGTTGCTGTCCTCAAGGCCCTCTGAGCTGAAGTGATAAGCAGGCAAAGTCTGGCCCTTCATACCTGCTGTTCCTCCCAGTGATCTTACTCTGCTAACCTACCTTTCTTCAGCTTCCGCCTTGGCTGCCCAGGGCATCTTGTTCCTGTACTTGCTTTTCCCTTCCCTGTTCCCTCATAACTCTGCTGTGGCTCAGGGTCTGTGTCCACTAAGCCTTAGTATTTTAATGCTTCCCTAGAGTGTGAAGATCTTGTATAGGAGCCCAGACCCTTCTGGTCTGCATCCTCCCAAGTCCTCCGTAGAGGATCTCTGCTGGCATTCGTGGAAGTGGCCTGCTCTGGCTCTGGGTGCTGTCCTAGGTGCTGTACGTCCAAGTACAACCAGTGAAACAATCTGTAGCCAAGGAGTTTACATTTTAATGGGGACAGTGATCTAGATTATGATGTACAGAATACATTTAAAGAAAATAAATACAAAGTAATTAGTGGTGGGTGGGATCCTGTAGATGGTGGTGCTTGGGCTGTAACTTGAAGGAAGAGAAGAAGTGAGGAGGGAAAATGTATTTTAGTCCTAGGAGGGAACAGCTCGGGCCACGGAAGGAAGGAAGGTGGTGAAGGATGGTGAGTGATATGGAGACTAGGAGCCCCCAGGCTAGCCTTGTCACATTTCATTGGAGCTGATAAAGTACTGAGACTGTCTCATGGTCATCTCTTCAGCTCACTCTGTGACTGGGCGATCAGTATGTTGCCCCTTCAGGAGAATTTTCTGTAATCCATTTAAAATTTTCGTTTCCATCCTGCCCTCATGAGGGTAACTCTTAAGAGCAGAAATTTCAAGCCAGTGGAGGATATAATTCATTCATGAACAATGACCCCTGTGATAACATTGGGCCTCTTATTAGGGTCAGGCCTAGCAGATTTTTATCTGAATTCTCTATTTTTGTGGCTTGTGATAGATATGGGTGTGTTACTTTAATTTGCAGAGATAAGAATTCTTACGAAACGAATTTCGTACAGTGTCAGTATGCACTCAGCCTGTATGTTGAGTAGAAGCAGCAAGAGAAGGGAGACATGAAAATGATGACAAGGAAAAAAAACTAAGAAAGGTTGAGAATGCAAATAAAAATCATACTTGTCTCTGTGATACTTTTCATTTTGCATTTCAGAATGTTTTTAAAAGTTGAAATTGTTCATCTTTAGAAACAGGAGATGTCGTCATCCTTCAATCTTGAGCAGTTAACTATGTCTTCTGTTGGCATTAAGAAATGTGAGGAAGAAAGTGGCTTTCACTTGTCTGAGAGTAGCAGTTCAGTGATAGAAGAGTTAATCACTGCTTGTTGTGGTAAGGAGCTGAAACTTGACTACTTTGATTCTTTTCATGAATTAACAAGATTAATTGTAGGCCCCCAAAGGCTTCAGAAGATTCCTGTGAAAAAGCTTGTCACATTGAGGAGTTTCATGTGTTTTGTTTCTCTTCCAGAGGAAATTGATGGTTGCCCTATCATCTTGACTTGTGGACCAAAGTGCATCGGCAAGTCCACCTTTAATCGATACCTGATTAACCAGCTGCTGAACAGGTGAGTGCAGCAAAGGGCCTCAGTCAGCCTCCCCTCCCTCTCCTCAGCTGGACATGAGACCCCAAGTCCTAAGTCACAGGATTCTACTGAGGATTTAAAATGCTTTTCTTTGAAAGGATAAACAGTTTAACATTTGAGTATGAGAACTGCTACCTATCTGTTAATTGTTAAAATTAGTTATTTTAATGAGGACTTTCAGCTTAGGTGATAGAGTAGGTGTGGTGCAGTGAAAAGAGCACTGGGTTTAAGTAAGTTCTAGCTCCTCCACTTAAACGGGTGACCTTGGGCAGACTCCATGACGTTCCCTGGGCCTCCACTGAGGGATGTACTGGAGGGCCTCTCAGGTTCATTTCCGGCACTCAGTCTGTGATTCTTTGATACCTCGTCTGTAGATTGAGGATAATTCTCCACCACTGTTGGTCCTGAGAGGTAGAGGTCTGTGTTTTGTTTCTTGCCTCTTTGTGCTTTGACCTCATTTTGGTGCGTCTGGGGTCCTTGCCTTTGGGGACTGGCTCCACCGGGGGAGTGTGGATTCCATTCACCCTTCTTCCTTCTTGTTGTTTATGTCCTTGTACAACCATACGTAGGGGGTCTGCCCTTAGCACCGGGAGCCTTCTTTTAAGTCTTGGGGATGAGGACAGCATTTGAGCTGTTTGGTACCCGTGTTATGGCTGGTCTGAGAGGTTTTGCACAGATGCTTGTTAAGTAATGAAGACAGCAGGAATAGTCTTAGGGACAGTTAAAGCAGCAGGAGGGTTATGAGGGAGACTCTGACAATTCTTGGATTTCATTATTTTTACGGTTCTAGTGCCATAGTGTTCTCTGTGTATGATTGGGGAGTGGAGAGGGGGGAGAGGGGGAGGGAGGGCAAGTGGGGGAGAACTAGAGCTTATTGCACTTAATAAGTGTGGTTACTCTTCCTCTTTACAAGCATTACGCTCTCCTGCTACTCTCAAGAGTCACTATTTGTCCTTGGTACCTGACACTGAGGAGTTAATACGCTACACAGACATTATGTAGAATTACAAAGAATTGAATTAGAATTTAACATGGTAATGATTTTCTTTTCCTTTTTTTCCCTAGTATTCCCTGTGTCGACTTTTTGGATTGTGACCTAGGACAGACAGAATTCACTCCTCCTGGTTGTGTTTCTTTGTCTAATGTCATAGAGCCTATTTTTGGTATGTATGAGAGTAATCATTTAAAGTCTTTCTTGCCAGCTAGCCAGCCTGGCCTCCATCTACTACTACCTCCATCAAGCCATTCTAATGCCTCCGTGCTGGGTACCTCCTTGCCCTAGTTCTGATCATTTCTCTGCTCTGATATGTATCTAGATTGTCCAAGGCTAGTCTATATCTACAGCATTCTTCAAGGCCTAGCTTAAACTTCACCTCCAAAAAGCTGTCTTTGATGAAGCCTGGCTCCCCACTGTCTTATCCCTCCTTTATTCCATTTTCACTTAGTGTTTAGATAGACGTTTTATGTTCCGTTGTTTTTACATGTTTACATGTTGCTTTGTTACTATCTTGGTTGTTTCAGGGATGTGGTGTTTGTCTTCAGCATTTGGTGTTTACCTAAAGCTCTTATCACAGGTCTGTTTGTCTGAGAGTTGCTTAACAAATGAAAGTGGAGGGGCAGCTAGGTAGCGCAGTGGATAGAGCACCAGCCCTGAAGTCAGGAGGACCTGAGTTCAAACCCGGCCTCAGACCAAACACTTGACACTTACTAGCTGTGTGACCCTGGGCAAGTCACTTAACCCCAATGGCCTTTAAAAAACCCCAACAACAACATCAAATGAAAGTGGAAAGAGTGAATGAGAATTTATTTTGACAGGCCCCTGCTCTTCTTGGGCCTGTATGATAAGAGTGGAGGAAGTGTAGTTTCAGGCCATGCCCCAGGGGGTTTAACCAGCACCCAAGGGCTCTGTACTTTTCACCTGTCCTCAGCACACGGACTGGGCTTGATACACATGCAGTCAGTCACACAGCAGATTCATCCCCACTGCACGCTCACAGACACCCGTCCTAGGAGGCAGAGCAGTATCAGAAGAGATCTTAGAAACCATCTGGGCCAGCCTGTACTTCTATGGCTCCTGGAAGAGTGGTCATCCGATGTCTAGCAAGAGACCCTGTTATGTCTTGGGATAGATAGCGGACTTCCCTTTTATTAGTGTCATTAGATGCTTACCCAGCATGATTTAATTATATGTTCACTGTTTTCAGTATATCTGTCTGCTTTTTAGGAAGATTATTGACAAAGCTAGAGGCTGATGAGGAAAGAGGAACCAAAACTTCCAAGAAAAATTGAAGGGACTGGGGTCATTCTGGAGAAAAAATGCTTAGGGGGGCTGGGATAGCGTCCTCAGAGAGTTAGCCTTCCTTGTTGCATTTCCAGTGCAGATGTGGGAGTACAGGGGAAGCAGATCCTGTCACAGAGTCGATTATAGTTTGATGTACAGAAAAACTTGGTGACGTTTAGAGCTATGCAGAAGTGTAAGGGGCTGTGTCAGTCATAGGAACTTCCTTGGGGGGTGCTTCAGGTAGAGGAAGGGTGGCTGGCATTTCTGTGCCCAGGCGTGTATTGGACTAGAGGCCTTTTGTGATTGTGGGGCGTAGTGGAAAGAAGCCTGAATTTGAAGTTGGAGAATGTCACTTGGTGTCTTAGCCCTGCTGCTTCCTACCTCTGTGACCTGGGGCTGATCTGAGGAGATCACTGCACTTGTCTGGACTGTGCTCTCTCCATCTGTAAAGTGTTAAGGTTGGACTGGATGACCTTCAAGGTCCTCCCAGCTGTACATCTATTGGGCTGTACAATTTCTTGTTCTTCAGTTAACTGTTAAGATTCATTGGATAAGGTTCTCTGTCCCTCCAGTGTAGTCCTAATTTAGCAGAATTAAAAGAGCCTACTTTCTCCAGTATCTCATCCCGGCCTGAAAGTGAACCTTGTGCTCTGTTAGCAGAACCTTCCCTCTGGCAGGCTATCCCAAGCTAGAAAGCCTTCCTGGACAATCCTTCTGTAGTATGCCGTGTCTCTCATCTGAAGAAGAACCCAATGAAGCTCACGGCCTCCACATTATTGTGGGGGCAACGCTTTGGGGCCACAGCGAATTGAGGCTTGGAGGGGCTGTGATCTGTGTCAGAGGGAGCAGCCAGCCTACGAAATAAAAATAGATGACCAAGCAGAAATTTAGAGAGTAGGTTCCCAAAGTGGGCAGTAGTAAAAATAAGGGAGCAGTGGAAGCATAAGGAAAGAAGAGAAGAAAATTTTGAAAAACCATTCATAATGTTTCACCTGTTGTGTAACAGAGTTAAAGTTGTAGTGATTATATTATTTTCTGAATAAATGCAGAAAATGTAAGTTATAACCCATCAGTGGTCAAGTCTGACTACAGGTCTTAACAAGTAAGTGTTGGCATCTCACACATGGTTGGGAAGTCCAGCATGCAGATACTATACGGTTACATGATACAATATTGCATCATCAAAATTTCGATGCAGGAAAAAACCCACAAATTTACAAGAAATTATTAAATTTAAGATACGTCATTTAAAAATTATTTTTTGAAATGCAAATTTGAAAAAAACATTAAAGTGTTAAAGAAAGTAGATCTCCAGGTGGGTACTGCGTAATTTTTTTTTTTTAAAAGGGCGGGGTGGTAGGCCAAATAAGTTTGGGAACTTCCAATTTATGGAGAAATGAGAGGCCAAAGACAGATGTTCCTTTTGCTGCTGTAGCTCAAAGGTTGAATTTTCCCTGCCTGCCGCCTCTCTGTTATTAAAAAAAAAAAAAACAAACCACCTTCAGTACCAGTGGACAATTTTCTGACTAATGGAATGAGTTTCAGTCATTATGATTCATTTATATGAATTTGACAACTTGGATTATAGTTGATGTTTAAAATCTTTTCTTTAAAAAACAAAAGCCCCAACAAAAAACAACCCAACCCTCCTGTGCATAATCTGTGCCTGTTACGAGGTATGAGGTGTCCAGTTGTCTGACATTCTTTGAGCACAGTGTTAAGGTAAATATGGAATTATCATGAGGTGAATGTGAGGCTCTCACTGCAAAAAAACTGAAGACTTGTACTTCAGGAAAGGTAGTTATAAGTATTTCTTTTGAGGAGAATTAAGACAAAACATGTCCATAGTGGAGAGCAAGGGTTTTGTAATCCTTGTTTTCATCCTCTTAGGGCCACCATTCACTCATCAAAGGAAAACTCGAAAAATGGTCTTTTATGGTGATTCTTCTTGTGAAGATGACTGTAAGAAATACACCAAGATTGTGAAGTACGTCTTCAGTGCCTATCAGAGAGAAGTGCCTCTCATCATTAATACGATGGGCTGGGTGAAAGGTAGGTCTGACAACGCATGTCACCTTCCTTGGGCTGTGGCTGCTCTTGTCTAAGCCTGCTTTTCCACGTCTGAATCAGAGCTGCGGAATAAGCAGCTGTTGCTTTGACTTATTGGAGTTGTTTGGTCCTCTTTCCTCCAGGCGATGGACTTTTGCTCCTCATTGACCTTATTCGAATGCTGGCCCCTACTCATATTGTTCAGTTCAGTTCTGAACAGTGTCAGGATATGCCCCTGCTCACCCCAGAGTACACTGCGGGGATGGCAGGTCTGCAGACAAAGGGCAAGACCAAAGTGAAAAACAGGCATTTGGACTGCACCGAATCGGAGAGTTCAGGGGATCCAGATGAAGGCAGCCAGCCCCACTCAACGGGATACAAACTGCTGCTTGTGCAGTCTGAATTTGCTGGTGCTGGCGTTGCTCAACTGACGTAAGAGATACGTGGCATCTCAAGCCTGGGAATTAGGTCTTTTCTGCAGTGTTGGAGATTTACTTGTTAAAATGGTGTCTACCTCTCCATAGTTCCCAAGTGCCTACATCACAGTTTTACGTATTTAAGTAGTAGAATAACTCTTTTTTTTTTTTTAAAGTAAATTTTTGTTATCTTGATTTTATATTCCCTTGGTTTCCCAATAAATCCCTCCTGAAGTACCTCCCAGAGAATCATCCCTTATAAAGAGAAAAAAGGAAAAAACAATTTAGCAAAACTAACCCAGCACCTCCCCCAAATCTAGCTTGGTGGGCAGTGTTCCCCACTCATAGGCTACCGCTTGCTAAAGGAGAGGATGTACCTTCGATCTTTTCTTTTGGACCAAGCTTGGTCATTTTCGTTTCACAAAATTCAGTTTTGTTGTTCTTTACGTTGTTGAAGTCCGTTGTGTATGTTTTTTTCCCTTTCTGTTTACTTCGCTTTGTTTATATTTATATAAATCTTCCTGTACTTGTATTCTTCATGTACATTGCACACAGTAAGATTCCATTATATTCAGGTACCACAATTCATTTAATTCCGATCATTGGACATCTACTTTGTTTCTAGCTCTTTGCTACCACAAAAAGTGCTGCTGTAAGTATTTTGGTATCTGTGAGGCCATTTTATTGTTGACCTCCTTTGAGTGCTTGGCAGACTGGAATCAAAGGGCATGGCCATTTTGTCAACTCTTCTAGCGTGATTCCATATTGCTTTGGAAGTGATTAGATCAGTTCTTAGCTCCACCAATGGTCCTTTTTGTGTGCCCATCTTTCCACAGCTCTTCTAATATCGATTCTTCTCCTCTTCCATCATCTTTGCTCATTTTCTGGGTCCAGTCAACAAGCATTTATTAAATGCCTGTGGAGTGCCAGGTCTTAATGTGCTAAGTGCTGGGAATACAAAGGAAGGCAGAAGACAGTCCCTTCCCTCAGGGAGTTCACAATTCAATTGGAGGGGAAAAAAACATTCAGACAGACAGGTTGAAATGATAAATATAGGATAAATTGGAGATAATCGCAGAGGGAAGGGTGTGAGGTAAAAGCTCAGAGATATTTTGGTTTTACATTTCTCTCCTGAGTGACTTGAAATATTCTTTCATGTGGTTTTCAGTTTGCAATTCTTTTGAGGCAGTTGGTGATGTGATGGTTAGAGGGCTAGGCCTGGAAGTGAGGAAGATCTGAGTTAAAATCCAGCTTCAGACACTTACTAGCTATATGACCCTAGGCAAGTCCCTTCACCTCTGCCTCAGTTTCCTAAACTGTAAAATGGAGATAATAGCAGAATCTACCCTACAGGGTTGTTGTGAGGATCAAATGAAATAACGTTTATGAAGCACTTAGCACAGTACCTGGCATTTGATAGGCACTTAATAAATGTTTTGATTTGGTATAAAGGAGGATTTTTTTCCCAGTTGACTGATTCCTTTCTTTTTTGAAACTTAATTTTTTTTTTTAAATTAAAAATCTATTTATTCCTTCTACTTCCCCCTATCTCATTTGGAAAACAAACAAAACACCCTTATAACAAATATGTAGTCAAGCAAAACCAATACCTGCATTGGCCAAATCAAAAAAATAACATGTCTCAATCTGCATTCTGGCCTGCCTCTCTGTCAGGAGATGGATAGCATGTTTCTGTAATAGGTCCTCTGGTTGGTCACTGTACTATTAGAATTCTCAAGTTTTTCAAAGTTGTTTGTCTCTACTGTGTTGTTATTTTGTAGGTTGTTCTGGTTCTGCTCACTTCACTCTGCATCAGTTCATACCAGTCTTTCTAGGTTTCTCTGCAGCCTTTCTCTCATCATTTCTTACAGCACGATACTATTCCAGCATGTTCAGATGCCATTTAGGGTTCAGCCATTCTCCAGTCGATGAGCATCCCCTGCTTGCGTTTCTTTGCCACCAACAAAAAGAGCTGTTGTGAATGTTTATACGTATGGGTTCTTTTCCTCCTCCTTTAATCTCTTTGAGGTATAAAACTATTCCTGTGAACTGGACCATTTCACAGCTCCACCTGCACTGCATTAATGTACTAGATTTCCCATAACCCTTCCAACATTTGTCTTTTTTTTTTTTCCAACTTTGCCAACCTAATGGGTGTGAGGTGAAAGCTCTCAGAGCTTTAATTTGCATTTCTCTAATTATTAGTCTTTTGTAGCATTTTTTCCATATTGCACTAGATAGCTTAGATTTCTTCTCGAGAAATACTTGTTCATATCCTTTATCAATTGGATAATAGCTTCTCTTTTTATAAATTTGAATGAATTTCCTGTATAGCTTTTTTTTTTCTTTTTGGTGAGGTAATCGGGGTTAAGTGACTTGCCCAGGATCACACAGCTAGTAAGTGTCAAGTATCTGAGACCAGATTTGAACTCAGGTCCTCCTGACTCCAAGACTGGAGCTCTATCCATTGTGCCACCTAGCTGCCCCCCTTTTTTTTTTAATTTCCTGCGTATCTTGAAAATAAAATCTTTATAAGAGAAACTTGATGCAAAGATTTTTTCCCCCGTTACTAGTTTCCCTTCTAATTTTACATATATTTGTTTTGTTTCTGCAAAATTCTAAATAATCAATATTATTCCTTTTATTTTCTGCTATCCTCTGTGTTCTTTGTTTGCATGTGACATCTAACCCCTATTCATAGAGCTGAAAGGTGATTCCTTCTTTCCTTTTTTAATTTATGATATCACCCTTTACGTCCATCATGTAGCCATTTGGAGCATATCTTGGTATATGATGTAAGAAAACTGCTTCTTTTCTTAGGTGCATTGGTTTGGTTCATGTAAGAATTAGCTTTTTTCAAAGCCGTAATTATCTAAATGCAAAATTCAAAAACATTTGCTCCCTTTCTTGGGTTGGAACCTTTGGACTTGTAGGAAAGGGTTTTTTATTTGTTTTTTAAAATTTCTGCCTCTTCCATGATGGGGCTGGTAGAAATCTTAAAAATGGTAAGCCTCAGAGAAATGTACTATGTATTTGATTCTAAGTGAAAGTTTCCTGTGGTAAAATTGTACAGTCTTTGCTTAACTGATTCTGATTTATTTTTTAGGCAATGGCATAGTCCTGTTCTTCGTGATATGGCCTTGTTAGGTTACCTTGCTTTGCTACAGCCACCAGAGGCAAAACCCTTTCTTCCACTACACCATCTAGTCCCCTTTCAGGTAATTTAAGCACTTCTGGGAGAAATGGACATGGATCTCTTTACCCAAACTAGGTACCGACCAGGAAAATGTTTGTGTGTGGAATCGAGCCGGTTGATAATCGTCTAAAGAAACCCCGCGGTTACTGTAGTGCCTTCTTTTGGAGTCATCGGCTCCCCTGTTGGAGGGATGTGCTCTCCAGGATCTGGATTCGGCCACTGGTCTTCATGATAGAGCTTTACTAGGACCATGCGGGCTCCAGATTTGTTTCCGTAGGTTCAGCTCTTTGAGGAGATTTAGGGAAATCTGGAAAGTAGTTTCCTATTTATTTTTCTTAAAACTTTGGTTTCTAAGAGATAGTTTAGTTGGAGAATGACGCGGGATGCTAAAGCCAAGATTGATCTGCTCTCAGCCATTGAGTCCATAGCCTTTTAGGGTTAGGGAGAGGGTTTTTCTCCTTTGGAAACTGAAGTATGAGTAGCTGTTGCAGTCATTTTTTATTTAAAAGTCCAGAATGTCCTTAAAACTACTCAGTATATTAAAAAGAGATTCATTTTCATCTGGTACCTTAGGGAACCTTAAGAGTCGTAAGGGGGAAATGTGTTCATCTTGGATCTGTTGTTCTTATCATATCACATTACTTTAGAAATGAGTGGGAGATATAAAAAAAAAGTTTATGTGTTATGTGTCACGTAGGAGATACGGCAATAGTAGGTGTTTTCACAGCGTCCCAGGGCTTTAATTAATTGAGAGTGCCCTCAAACCACCATTTTGTGTTTCCTCCCAGGTCAGAAAGGCCTGTGCTTCCTGCTGTGGTGAGGTTAGCAAGGATTGCTGGTGTTCACCAACTGTGTTAATCCTTTGTGTTCCTCGGATTAAACAACTAAATACAATAGAACGGTGGCTAGCGTTTGTAACAGTTTGCAATTAATTATAGCGAGAGCCTCGAAAAAATGTAGAAGTAGCCAATAGGGTGATTAAAAAAATGAAATTGCCATTTCCGGGTGGAACTAACAGGGCTTTATTTTCCAGATCCCTTTCAGTTCTGTGGCTCTCCGGGTTATTCACACTGACGTTGCTCCTACTCATACCATGTATACAGTAAACGCCAACTGGGTTGGTCTTTGTAGGATACTAGATGACGTCAAACAGAAAACTGATGGACCAGTTTTTCTCACAGACAATCCAGTCTGTGATTGTATGGGGTTTGGTAAGTTCACAGTGATATCTTTCTGCCTCATTACTGAAATGGCCTTGGTTTTGGCAAATAACACGGTCTTTTTTGAGTGTGAAGTGATAAAAGTCTGCTAATTGAGACTGGGCAAGCACCTCCTAAGTCACGTTTAGGGGAAAGTTGTACGTCTTTGTGCGTCGCTAGATGACTGTCACTTAAAACCTAGAAAGAAAAGGACATCGTGAACTATATCTGCTTCTTTAACAGGACTTGTTCATATCGCTTCACTGACAGAGAAAAAAACGGACCTTTTTCTGATTGTGTTACCAGGTGTATTAGAGCGAAGCAATTAGGAATAAGTCATTTTAAAATAAAGACAGACTCTTCAGTAGAAAACTCACAGCATCACAAAATTAGAGATTTGGAGGACCTCACCTAGGCCAACTTGCATGTGGAAGAACCCCCCCATCATGTAACATTCTATGTCTGCCTCAAGGCCTTCGAGGCGGGCTGCCCCATCTCCTGACAAGGCAGCTGCTCCCACTTTTTTTTTGTGAGGAGATTTTCCCTGACACCAGACTTCAGTTTGCCTCTCTGCGGTCTCTGCCTCTTGCCCCTGGTTGTGCGCACTGGGGCCAAACAGAACAGATCCAGCCCTTCCTCCCCGTGACAAGCCTTCAGATGCTTGGAGACCCTTTGCCGTTCCCCTGGAGTCATCTGTCGCTGGGATAAACGTGCCCAGTTATTTCAGCAGGTCCTCATGATGTGGAGTCCTGGTCTTTGCTCATCCTGTTTAGATGCTCTCTAGCTTGTCAGTGTCCTTAAACTGTGATGCCCAGAACCGAACTCAGTACTCCAGACCAGGTCAGATAAGGGCAGAGGACATTCCTGAAAGCAGGCTCCTCCTGATGATCCCAGGAGCCTTTTAGCTTCTCTGGGTACCATATTGATCACACTGCTGAGTCAGTTGGAGCTTGCAGTTCACTAAAACTCCCAGATCCTTTTCAGAACAGCTCCTGTCCTTATCTCTGCCGTGTTGTATTTGTGGAATTGGTTTTTTTGGTACCCACGTGCAAGACTGCGTTTGTGTCTATTGAATTTCATCTTGCTACATTAAGCCCAGTGTTCTAGACTGCCTAGACCCCTTTGGATCCTGGCTGTCATCCACTGTAGTAGCTAATCCTCTCAGCTTGGTGGCACATCGGATGCACAGGTCGTCTTTGCCTTTATCCAGGTAATTGATAAATGTGAAGCAGCTTAGTGCCAAGCATAGCTCCCTGGGGTCCTCCACTGAAGCCCTCCTGCCCATTGCTAGTGAATCATTTGTTCCCAGCTTTGCTCTGAGTCTGATCAGCCACCAGTTCTAAATCCTCTCACTCCTTGTATCCTATCTGCTTGATCCGTGTCTGTCTTTCCAGCTAACGCACAAGGAGTCTGAGACACTTGGGCAAAATCTCTGCTAAAATCTAGGTGAGCTGCGTCTGTAGCGTTCCCCTCGGCCCCTCGGGTAATCCTGAGGCGAGGTTCGTTTGACGCAACTCATTATGGGTGGTTGCTCAGCAGCCGTCATACCCTGTAATGGTCTGCTCCACAGTTTTCTCAGCCCCCTGGGGTCAGGGTCACTGCCTCTCATTGGCAGCCCTTTGCCCATCTTTAGTCTTGTCTTGTGGTACCTCCCCTCTTGGGAAGGGCTTCATTAATCAGTTCTTTCACCTGAACTGAGGGGCCTCTCTTCTCTTGGCACCAGCTGCCCACTAGCAAGGCTTGTCCCTCCCAGTATGAAGACCTTTTCTTGGTTGTCCATGATCATCGAGTCCACCCCACGCAAAGCTTCTAATCCTTCTCGGATCCTTTGTCCCTCAGTAGTAATATTACCATGCGTATGTACGTGCATCTCGTCTGTGACCTCACCCTCCTGGTTGCCCTCTAGACAGTCTCCAGCCTGTCAGTGTCCTCCTTAAACCACAGTGCCCAGGACTGAACCCAGTGATGAGGCTGACAGGGGCAGCATGCAATGGGCTCCACTTAGAACAAGGCTCTGGTCCTCGAGGCAGTCAGCCACCAAAGACAAGGACTTGTGTCCTCTGCTCTAGGTGGGTTTCCCTTAGCTATCAATGGTTTTGTTTGTCAAGTGTTCCTTTTAAGAGAGAACCAGCCTAGTGCCCTTGTTTTAAACCATTTTGCTTTCATGTAATTAAATAAAAGGGATGGATAGGAATAGTTGTTTAAAATGTTATCTGTAGTTCGTCAATTAAGAGATTCTATTTCCTATTTAAATTGGGTTTAAAAAGTCCATTGTCGTTGTTTACATGCATACGCTGTCTTTTTTAACAGTTGGTTTTGAGACCATTCTGTGAATGGAATTATTCTTATTCTTGTTATTTTGTATATTAAAGGAATCATCCGAGGGATCAGCGTGGTGAAAAAAATGTACTACGTTCTGACTCCTCTGTCCCATGAAAAGTTAAGACACGTGAATTGTCTGATGATTGGAAATATTACTATTCCTCATTGTGTCTTCAAGAGCCAGGTACAGTCCATGAAGGAGTTTGCTAATCTACAGCATTTACTTACCTACCTCTCAGTTTTTCCCAGAGTTAGACCAGGTTAAAGTGGGGGCCATGCTACAGATAATGTGAAGAGATGCAAGGGAGGTGTGGATTCCATTCACACAAATTAGAAACAATATTCTGTCCAATTTGGAATGTTGATCTCAGAACTTTGTGCTGTAGCTCGTAGTTAATGTTGAGGGAATAAAACCAGGCGGGTAGATGAGAATGGGCTTCTCTTAGGGAAGGACTAAGGAGAGAAATTGTATGAGGTGAGTGGAGAAGCCCCTGCTCTGACAGCAGTGGCAGAGAATTGGAGAATTAGAACAGGCCAGCATCCTAAAAATGTGACAGCTGCTATGTTGGGTCATTGGGTCATCCAGTGGGCGTTTGAGCCACTCCTGCAGAATGTCAGTGACCTGGAGGGCTGGCATTGTCAGGGTTAGGAAGAACTGGATACAGGTTCTGCCTCTGCCTAGGACAGGCTGTGTGATGATCATTTGCCTCAGGCAACTCTTGAAGGCTTACAAATGAATGTGCTGTTGGGGTTGATGTGAATGTCACCCCCTCCAAAAAGAAGTGGAATGGCTGGCCTCTGTCCTACAAGGAGGGACCTCTGCTGGGGAGGGACGTTGTGGCTGCTGCAGAAGGAACTTGGCATGCTTTCCATTGAGCCCTCACCAGCTAGGTATCCCTCCTCTTGGTAGGGGAGCCAGATACTTGGGAAGATGGCCGCATGGGACGTCTCCCTCTCTTACAAATGCTGCCCTGCAGGGAGGTGGCTGCACACTGTGAGACCCGCTGCATCCCGTGCGTGTGCATCTTCTTTACATCTTTCCTCTTTGTGTCTTTGTGTTTCAGCCCAAGATTGAGGGAGAGATTCCTTACGTCACTTCTGAGTACAATTTTTCTATTTGGGGATCAGGAAAACTCAGAGTCAGGAAACTCCTGCAAAGAAGAGAATACCTTTAATCGCCAGTGAACTTTTCCCTGAAGAATTAGCTGGAGCTTTTGGTCTTAACGAGGGAGGGGGATGCAAAAACTTGATGTGGCTTCTCTTGCTGTGCTAGCAGCATCCAGTGGAATGATGTGAACAATTCTTCAGCCCAAATATTGTTAATAGTTTACAAACATTTTTGTATTAAAATATTTTCTGAAAATTCTTCTCAAAATTACATGTGATCTGAAGTGTAAACAGCATCCCCAGGCACAGCCAGGGAGACAAACACTGCAGGAAATTGGGAGACTCAGGTCGAGTCTGAGCTCTGCCCTGGGGACTGCATGACCCTGGAGAAGAGTGGGGCTGCACCAGACTGCCTGAAATTCTGATTTGTGCCTCGTCTTTTCACTGATGACATTGCAGCTCATTGACTTATAATAATGGCTTTTATTTCTATGGCACTTTTAAGTTTGTAAAATATTCTCCTTACTACAACCCCGTGAGGGAAATCGTGTCTAGAATATCATCTCCATTTTATAGTCAAGGATATAGTCTTAAAGAAGGCCAAGCAATTTGTGGAAGGTCTCAGAACTGGCCAATCAGCATCTGAAAAACCAAGTCTTATTGCTTACTCCTTGACCGATATTTTTATCTGCCTCCCCATACAGTTCCTTATTCAGTGAGCTCCTTAATTGTGTTAGTACGTAGAATAAGGACCAAAAATAGGAGATTTGGGCCAGTAGAGAAGAAAAGGAAGAAGGATGACTTGAATCACACATCAGGAAATCCTGGGGTTCCTCGGGCATGAAGATAGACCCCTACCATCTTGTTTAACATGATGATTCATATGTACAAGCTACCCATATTGGGTCTAGCTGCTCATCATCTGGACTGTTGGAGGTAATATCCCTTCTTAATTATCCTTGACTGCGTTGTATTTAATTCCAGTTGTCCTCTACTTAAGTAGTTGAAGCAGATAGTTGGGCATCAATAAAGATTTCAGGAATCCTCAGTGACGGCATGTCCCACTGCCATTACAGAGCACAACTCTGTTTTAGTAAATTGATGGTAGTCATGAGTTACTATAGGCCAACACCTTGTTGTCATCTTATAAGATAGGCTCTCCAGATTTAGCTAGTAGCTTTATGGCAGCTAGACAGTATGTACTTTGGGCCTGTTTCATAAGACCTGTCTGATGTGGTCTGCTATCATAGCCTTGGAGACCAGAGGCATCGGTTGCTGCGGTGTGGCATCATGGAAGAAGTTTGCTCTCTTGGTGTGGGTTCTTTTAAAAGTCTGTGGCTGATCTAGTATAACCTTTGAATAAATGTAATTAATTTTTTTTTTCATGTTTTAGTGGAAATAGATGGAATAAATTGCCTCCCATTAGTTTTTTTAAACCTATAATTTGATGCTTGTCAGAATCAAGTCTAAATGCTGAAAACTTCCAAGTATCTATAAATGTTGATTTTGCAGATGATAGAATTGTTTACTTTAAAAACCCTAGGGGCAGCTAGGTGGTGCAGTAGTTAGAGCACTGGACCTGGAGTCAGGAGGACCTGAGTTCAAATCTGGTCTCAGACCAGACACTTGACACTTACTAGCTGTGTGACTCTGGGCAAGTCACTTAACTCCAATTGGCTTGCAAAAAAAAAAGAAAAAGAAACCCCTAAAGAATCAACTGTAAATTAATTGAAACAATTCAGCAAAATTGTAGGATATGAAACAAATCTGTATGAATCATCAACATGTTTGCATATATTCCTGTATATTACTGACAAAATCATTGTAAGTACCTAGAAACTATAAAATGTTTGGTAGTATATCTCCTAACATACATCTAGAAATTATATGAATACAACTATAAAAAACATTTTGCAGAAATAAAGACAAACTTAAATAATTGGAGAAATGTTAATTGCCCGTGGGTAGGTTGAGCCAGTGTGAAAACATTACTGCCTGAATTAATTTCCTTATTCAATGCTGTATTAATTAAACTTCCAGAGGAATATTTTATAGAGCTAGGGAAACAAAATGAACTTCTTGTGGAGGAACAAAAGACCACGAATATCAAAGGCAATAATGAGGTGGAAAGGAAGGATGCCTCTCAGTGCCATGTCTTAGACTGTAGTGCAAAGCAGTCATCATGAAAGTAATTTGGTCCTGGCTGAAAAATAGGTTGGTTAATGGAACAGATTGGGTGCACTGTCTGCAGATGCAAGCAACAGTAGCATAATATTGACCAATGCAGAGACTTTGGTTCACCATGAAAGCTCCTTCTGTGACAAGTTGATGCCAGGATGGCACCGTATTTTTTTGCACCATCTGCCCCAATGAGCTCCAATGAGATACGTGGCCTAGATTTAAAGATCACATAATAAATTAGAGGAGCGAGGAAGAAATGAGATGTTGAATGTATAAATAGAGGAAGAATTCATAAACAAGTGATTGAGGGGGTCACAGAAGACAAAATAAGACAATTTTGTTAATATAAAATTTAAAAAATTTTGTACAAAGAAATCAAATGTTAAAATTAGAAGGGAAGCAGGTAAATGGGGAAAAAAAACCTCAAGCAAGTTTTTCTGGTAAAAGGTTTCATATTCAAGATACATGTATAGAACTGATTCAAAGTTGTAAAGCAACTAAGCTAGGGATGCTGCAAGTGCACAGAGCATTGGATCTGGAGTCAGAAAGACCTGAATTCAAATCCAGCCTTTACCAGCTGGGCAAGTTATTGTACCACTGCCTCAGTTTCTTTATCTGTAAAATGGGAAAAGTAATGGCACCTACCTTGCAGGGTTGTTGTGAGGATCAAATAAGATAAAATATGGCAAATGCTTTGTTAACATGTTATATGGTAGTTACTTTAAGACTAAGATCCATTCCTCAATAGCTAAATAGTCAAATGTGTAAATAACCATATTGGGAAAAAAATCCTCTTAAATTACTAATGGAGGAATGCAAACTAAAGCGGCTGAGGTCTCACTTCACATCCTTCAAAGCGGCAAAGTTGGATGAGCAGTATGACAAATGTTGAAAGGGCTATCAAAAAACAGGCATGTTAATGCACTGTTGAGAGTTTAGGAATGGTCTAGCTCTTCTGGAAGGTTATCGAGCTGCATCTATGCCCTTTGGTGCAGTAACCCCCGTAGGCCTATACCATAACAAGGTCAGAGATAGAGGAGAAGGACCTGTATGTACAAAATGGAGCCGTTCTTTCTGTGGTAACCCCAAATCGGAATCTGTGGAGGTATTCTGTTGGGGAATGGTTATACAAATGAAGGTGTATTGATGTATGGAATTACTGGGCCAGAAGAAAGGCCAAAAGGGACCATTTCGGAGGAAACTGGGAAGACCTTTGAACTGATGCCGAGTGAAGTGAGCAGAAGTAGAACCATTTATATGACAACATTATTGAGAAAAACAGCTTTGAAAGACTTCAGGACTGAGCAATTCATTGATAAACCAAGAGTACAGAAGATTGAAGATGGAACTCACCACTCACCTCTTGTGTGAGGGGTGATGAACTTTAAATGCTTTGGGCGTAGTCAGTGTAGGCATTTGTCTTGCTGGACTAGGCGTGTTTATGATGAGAGTATTTTTATTTTAATTTTTTATTCAATGGAAGGGGCAGAGGGAAGAATAGATTATAAATGCATGTAAAAATAAATTTATTTTTTTACATAAGAAAAAGTGTGTAGATCATGGAGGTTTACTGGATAAAATTCTGGAAGGGGACAAGATAACACTTAAGTTAAACAAACTTACTGGAATAAGGACAGTATAAATACTTTAACATTGTAAGAATTTTACCCAAGACTCAGCTCTTTCATTGTGAATCTTGAAGAAAAAGATTTTTTTTTTCATATTTGTTTGGCATAATTACTTTTAATCAACAAACATGGGTGACTGGTTGATCCTTAGTGAACAAAACATAAGTAATGGCCTGCCTGACTTTTCTAAGCTGTAGTATGTGAGGTATGTCTATTAAGTAACGTGACTTTTTTTTTTTATAACACATCAAGAGGATTGTGTTTACACCATTGAAACCCCTAAAATGGGCTTCACTTGACCACTGATGGTGAATCATCCATATTGGGGTATCAGGAATTTTGAGAGTGGATTCCAGAAACCACTGGCCTATCCCGGGGAGATGCTGGTTGATAGAAGAGATAATGTGGTGTCTGAAGGGCTGCTACCTTTAGAATTAGGAAGATGAGGTCCTGTCTGATACAACCAGCCACGTGGATGTATCTCTTAACCTCTCAGTCCCCCAGGCATCTAGGACTTACGGTTTATAAGCTGAAGGAGCGTTGCAGGGTGGCGTTAGTGGAGAGTTCCCTCCACTGATCAAATCATAGGTCTGGACCAAAAGTGTAAACAAAAAACCCAGATGTTGAGTCAGGAGACCTGGGTTTGAAGTCGGGTGCCACAATCTATGGCACCTTGGACCAGTCCCTTCCCCTTTCTGAGCCTCAGTTTGCTTGTCTACAATGAGGGAGTTGGGCCAGGTAGCTTCCAGAACGTGGAGGTTGTCCCTTGAGATACTGGATGTTAGTTCTTGGATGTCATTGCTCAAACCATTTTGGAAATCCCCCTCAAAAGAGTGGGTTTGATTTTTCAGAAACAGCCTAAAGTTATTTGAATTCAAATCTGGTCAAGTGACTTTCTTCCTTGATAATTTGTATACTTACGCACTAACTTGGAAGGTAATATGAAGAGAGCTACCAAACGTGTTTGGAGTAAAGGCCATGTAATTTAGAGTATGTACGGAGCCTCCTGCTGTCAGACATCGAGGGAGAGCATTTATTTGGATGGAAAAAAAGGCATCAGTTTATGGATACGCTTAAGAATTGAAATGATTTTCTAAGTAAAAGGATTCTGTCACTTCCCAAGCAGAACCCAGTTCTTGGAGAGCTCTTTAGTCCAACTGTTATAATCCCATTGGCATTCTGAGTTGATCATATTCTAGAATCGACATCGCCTTACTGAGAAACTTTATGAAATGATCAGGCAATTTCTTTTTTAAACAAATTCTTGCAAAGCTCTCCTTTAGAATAAGCAGTCACCACCCAGTGGTCCTGATCAGCAGGGGATATGAAAAATTAAAGCAGTTGTTACATGAATGTACTCTTCCTCTTAAACACTTTTAGCTTTTCCTGTAAGCCTAATTTTTTATTTTCAAGGCCTGAGCCTTGGAGGATACCACATATGAAAATGAACAAAATTACATTTGGCCACTAGAGGGTGCTGAGCCTTGGTCATCACTAAGCATTTGTCACCTGGTCTCAAGGCTAGCAGAAGAAGACTTGATTGGAATTTCCCAAGGAGGTTCAAGAGCTTGTTTATTGGCACTAATGAATGCTTTCAAATCCTAGGGTGATTGTGATCCTCTCCCACAGAATCATCATGGTCTTTTTAACTTAGTAACATGTCAAGGGACAAAAAAGATTTATTGTTTGATGTTCCAGATTTCTGTGATTGATTATCAGTATCTGAAATAAATTGAGTATACTCAAACTAAGGATGTAGCTGCTTAGTGTTAATGTCCATATGCTGATAAAGGGGAAGGAAAAGATCTTCCTGTTGGATATTTCCTGAATATTAAACTGACCATGTCTAAAAATTGAACTCATCTTTCCCCCTAAGTCTTTCCTTCTTAATTCCCACTGTTACGGTCAAGGGTACCACCATCTGCCCAATCACACAGGCTCAAAACCTAGATGTCAGTCATTTTCAACTCCTCGCTTTGTCCCACCCCTCCTATAACCAATCTGTTCCCAAGGCCTGTTGATTCTATCTTCAAAACCGTTGTACCTACTTCAGTATTCCAACCCTGGGGCAGGCCCTCATCACCTCATTCCTGGATTATTGCAGTAGCCTGCTTGCGGGGTGTGGGGTCTCTGCCACAAATCTGCCCACACCAGTCTATCCTCCACCCAGTCATCAAATTGATTTTCCTAAAAGTACAGGTCAGGCCATGTAACCTTCCCCCCCAACCCCCTATTCAATCAACTCCAGTGACTCCCTGTTGCCTCTAGCATCAAAAATAGACTCCTTGCTTGTCTTTTGAAGTCCTTTATAACCTAACCCTTTCCAGTCTTCTTACAATTTCATGTATTTTGCAGTCCATTGACTCTGGCCTCCTAGATTTTTCTGGAATAAGAATCTCCATCTCCTAGCTCTGGGCATTTTCACTGACTGTCCCCCATGCCTAGAATGCTCTTTCTCCTTGCCTCTGCCTCTTGGCTTTCTTCAGCTTTCATCATCTAAAGCTTCACCGTCCTCAAGAATCCTTTCCCATTCAACCTTCATGTTAGTGTCTTCCCTATCTTGGTTATTTATCTTG